AATTTACTAGTATTTATTTAATTGCTATACCACCCCACTGTCAAAATTCTCTGGACAGTTTACAACAGTCCATAAAACAGTCTATATTTGTACTGGACAGTCCATATTTGTCCAACAGTCCATAAAAGCAGTTGAAATTTGAGACCCGACATGTGATAGTGGATGGAATGTCTGATGTAGGAAAGATTCTAATACCTGCTCTGATGCTTACTATGACTGGTCAGTCTCTCAGCCTAAATTATCTCACAGCACTGTTGTAGGGATAAAAGTAGGGAGAAAACATGTACAGTTCTGTGAGCTAGAAGGTAGGATAAATATGCCATCAATGAAAATGTGCCAGTCAACAGCTGGGGCAAACCCCGAGTGGACCCCAGACCTGAAGCCAAACAGAGCCTGAGACGAGACTTAGAGCCAAAACCAGCTTTATTCTAGTGCACTATAGAATAAAGGGAGACAAAAGGGGACATTCAGCCCAAAGCAGTGTCTCGAAAGTTGCATCCCCGGTACATGTGTTTTATACCCTAGGTAACCAATTAGGTCACCTAATACACATCTAATACATCAATGTATGCACCCCCTCCCGTGCTGGAGAAAGAGTCCTTTCTTCTGTCAAGTACCAGACATTTCCCATGTCTATTTCACACAGGCTTGCCATGTTCTTACTCCCTGCTCATTTGCAACCTACATGGCGGCTAGAACCAGTTTCCACTGCCCCTTTGATTACTGTATTCGAGGTCAGGCTAGCATGTTAGCTGTGGGTTACACAAAGTTCATTTTGTTCTTATCTGCCCACCCTTCTGGGACAGTATAATTGTGGTGTTTTTACTATGTGGCCTTCTTCTGGCCAACTACTTTCAGGGTGTTTTGGGGTGCTGCAATTGGCAACAGTGAGATGGAGTTCAGCAACTTGACACATGCTAAAAGCATCACCTTTTGAATTTTTTCCCACCCAGACTGTGAAAAACACACTGACCTTGCACACTGACTTCCACTGAAACAGAGTGAATGTTTCAGTGGAAGGACACAAGGTGATCAGGTATTTTGCTACTGGATTGACATTCTCAGCCCAGTATTTCATACTCATGTTTTTCATTGTATGCAAATCTCACCCATGTTATACCCTGTTGTTCAAAGGAACAAAAAACCAATCTTCTGGAATTGTTTCTGTCATGTTTATATATGTTAAGTGTTTTTTTAAATAATTCTGCCATTTTTTAAAAATAAAAGTATATATTGTCTTGTAACCTACCTGCAAATTTAAAATATGGATTGGGGCGGGCAGGAAGATATAATTGAAGGGGTTGGCTATACGTTTAGTGAGCAAGATAGGTGAAAAGCAAGGTGGCAAGTTACTCAGGGTACAATCCTAAGCGTGGTTAGATTGAAAAATGTCCTCATGATTGGTTGGGAAATATTAGGAGTTTTAGGACTTTTTTCTGACTAAATATACGTAAGATCATGTCCTTACTAACTTTCATAACATATTTTAAGGTGCTGGGTATTACAGGGGAGGAGTGAAGAACACTATTTTGTAGAAGTGTGAATGGGGTGTGTATATGAACACAAAATCCCTATTTATTTGTTCTAATAGGGAGAAAAAAGCCCAATTGGAAAACTGATGAAATAAGCAGGCCAAAGCTGTGATTAATTCCAGAGATACTTGAGCCTATGAATTCTGTGTGGATTTAGTCATAAACCTATTTGAAACAGTAACCCCATTTAAAATTAATTGGCCAATCCCAATTACTTTAGTAGGTTTACATATAACTAAATCACTGGAGTCAACCCTGTTCATGTATTTTAATTAAATAGTTTCATTATGTTTTTCTTTTAATGGGAGAGCCAGTCTCACTCCCAAAGGTTGCTATGATGTACTGTCAACATCTCTGACTTACAGTGACCCCAGGAAGAAAGTCTTCCAAAATGTCCAGTCCACAACAGCCTTACTCAGCTCTTCTAAGTTCAAGGTCACGGCAGCCTCCATCCATCTCCTATTTCATCTTACAATCTGAGGCTGAGGAAATTCCTGACAGACACACACATTTGGGAGAAAATAATTTGACTGAATTCAGTGAGGCTTACTTTTGAGTAGATATATTCAAGATCAGTAGGGTTACAGTAGGGTATGGGATCATAATCTGTGGATGAACTTTTTTTTTCTTTTTAATGGTCTTGTCTTAAAGAAGTCTGGTGTTCAGAATTTTAGATGTCAAAGTTTTCCCATCACTTAATGATGAAGAAAGATGCCTACCCCCTCACTCTGAAGAAGAAGCAACACCCAATACCATTCAGGGAGAAACTTTTCCACTTTTGGTGGCATCAGATATTTACCTTCTCCTAGATTGGACAGTAAGACAGACTTCCCTTAAATCAGAAGCATAAAATGAATATACATAATCATACAAAATATATAATATTTAATACTCTCTTAGTATGCATTGTAGATGGTGAAGGGAACATTGGCCATTCTTATGGGGTTAATAGCAGTGAGATTTTACCTGCTAGAAGGAATCCAGAGGCAACCATTAACAAATGGAAGAGGAGAACAAATGGATTTTCATGTGTTGATTTCTTCCCACCTTCTCCATAGGGAAGGAAAGCAAAGCTTAGCTTAGGGATCATATTATGATCTGTCAACTTGCATAATTATTATGTGGTGAGCAACTCCAGGACTGGGGTTATTAATGAATTATTTTAAGCATCTTAGTGTTTTAAGCATTTTCATCTTTCTCATGAGTTTGGGAGCATCTGCAAAATTGGGACAGAGGGTTGGCATTGTTGCATTTGAAACATTGGGTGGAGGAAGTGTGACACAGGAAGTCTGAAGACTGGGGTAGCTGCAGATTGGGTACTTTCTTAGCTAAAACTTTTGTTAGCAGGGCTCCTATGATTAAAACAGTTGCATGTGAAACAGAAATGTGGATGTATGGTGTGGTGTGTGTCCACCCCTACTCACTCCAGTATTATCTCGTTCCCTTGATGGTTGGTGCAGCTTTGGAATACCTAATGAGGGAGTGGCATAACTAACTTGTCCTAAGCTACTTGAACCAGCTTGGTTGCCAAAATGTTGAGAATGCAGAGTACAAAAAAGCCTGGGACTGCCATATGCTTCCTGAGGATGTATGTGTCTCACTAGCAGTATGAGCAACTGACTGAACATTCTGTATGAACTTCAAAATGTAGCACTGTGTAGGATGCTCGGTTACTGTTTGACACAAGTAGGGAAAGGCATAGAAGGGCGGCATAAAAGTCAAAGAGTGAGTCTGTCATATTAGACATGCCAAAGGCTTGGCAGTCGCACATATTCTATGTACTTGATGGCATCTGACCTTTTAAATAAGAGAAAGTCTTCTGTCTTGAATGTTTCTTCTCTCACCAACTTTTCCGATGTATATATTAACATTATTTTCAGGCCAAAGTACTGTTTGAAGAAATGCAGCATGTCCAAGAAGTTGCAGGATTTCTTATAGAAAGAATGCTAGATAGAAGCAGGTGAAACATTTTTGAGAAGCCATGATCCAAACTACCTGGCCTTTTGAGTATAAAATGTTGAGGCAATATATGCTGTACCTGCATAACTAATCCTGCAAAACTTTTGACTTGCTGTCTGCATTTGTCAGTTTTCAACAAATGAAACTGCTTCTTAACACAGTAAACTGCACAGTAAACTTTAGGTTAGCTCTTTGCACAAGGATCCCTGACTAGACCTTTCCTAAGTTTTAAGTGACTGAGCAAAATGCCTGGAATGTGATTTGTTGTTTCAAAGACTCTTAAAACGGATCCCCTACAGTTAACGAAAAGCACAAAACATTAGAAGATCTGCAGCAGCCAATTTTGTAACAGAACAAAGATTGATAATTAACAATAGTCATAGATGGCTTTGTCTCAAGTTATCATGGTCCTACTGGAAAGGTAAATGTTCGGCAAACTACCTTCTTAGTTTTCACTTCTTCAGTCTGTAAAACTCTCAGAGTTTTGTGACAACTAACTCTAAAAAGTACAATGCAAATGATGGATCCAAAATTGCTTTTGTTTTGGAACAGATGGCAGATGGAAACACTAGAATTGTATTTGCATCTTTGTATTGCAGTAGCCCAAGGCAGCACTTGGGTGATGTTTACACAAGCAGTTACTTCACTTAACAAGACATGGCTTAAGGGTAAGAAAACTGTAAAGCAGGCATGATGATAGAGCTGTGCAAAATGGGAACACGCTCTATAATCTACAATAACGATACGGCATTGATGATTAATTCCGTTAAAAGAGGAAGCTCCTGCTTCAAGAGACACATTCTGCTTTCCCAAGTTGCCTTCCAACCTCCTTGGGGAGAAATATCTCTGCGCACGGTTGTCTGCCTAATTTAGGCTCCAAATTACTGCCTTAGAATATAATTTCTTCTTCCTGAACTTGTCATGGCCCGGCCGAACGTTGCCTAGACATATTTTCTGCCCTTCACGACGAAGAAGAAAAGGAGCACGGTCACATTACAAATGTAAGCTTTGCGGACATGATTTAAATTGTGTCTTTAAAATCCTGTCAAGAGTAAGGCGGTAAATGAAAAACTGCCTTTGGAAGTATCGCAAGGAAAAGTCAATCCCTTCTTTCGGCTTCGATATTTAAAACACTGACATGTTCAGCAAACGATCCGGTATGCGAGTCGGACATTAATACTCCTTGCCCCTTAAACTCTCCCAATAACTCCCATTGGTGATTCTTGATGCCTTCCTCCCCTTTTCCTTGACAAATCAGGAGTGTCCTCCTGTATCAAATTCTTTTCCGGCAGAAAATCTGGTCCAGGCGCTGAGCGCCCTCTACTCCGGTTACTTCGCATTGATTGGTTCTTTCCTCTTTAAAGAATGTTGGATCCACCAATAAGCAACCCCTATTGGCTCCCCCTAGCCAACCGGTTCATTTCTTCCTCCTCTTCCTAGCTACCTCTCCACCTCCCGGAGGCCCAAAGAGACGACTGGGTATTCAGATGCAGGAAATGGGCGCATTGAATCCTTCTTGCGCATTGTTTCCAGTATCGTTTTTTCCTTCGACGCTCCTCGCCGAGCGTCTGTATTTTAATCTTTACTTCTTGCTCCCTTGCTTCCTCATCCTAGATCTTCCTTCTGCATTGCGTGATGGAAGGACAACATATAATGGCTCAGGTGCATATCCAGACGCCAGTGTCCTCTTCCTCGTCGTCATCTTCAGTGACTGGGGAAGAATCCAGGAAGCTACCGAATCAAGTACGAGCGGCAGCCCGGGAAAGAATGGTGGGAGGCCGTTTGTTGGATAGCCATAGCTTGGATGGGATAAGCCAGGTGTATGGAGCATCCAAGGCTCAGGAAGGAAGGCGGGCCACCATATCCAGTGCCTTGGAGCTGGAAGGGACAGTGAGCCATGACGGGGACCTTACTCACTTTGTGGCCAACAACCTGCAGATGAAAATCAAAATGAGCTCCCGGGGCAGTCTGGATGACACAGAGCCCACCTCCTCATCGTCAATGTCATCACAACTGTCTGTTAGAGGCAAAACTGCTGATATACCTCCAATTGATCCACAAGTAATCCGAGATCTGGAAAAGCTCACAAGGGATGTGGCACACAAAGTGGACCAGATGCTGCGAGTCTTGAACAGCGCTATCCAGAATATGACAGCACTCAGTGTGGGCTACATCCAGACTTACCGGGATGCTGTGGACAGCTTGGGTGAATCAGTGGACATGAGCATCAAAGGGATGTACACTCTGATGGCACGGTGTGAGGAGCTGGACCGTTCCATGCAGCCCGTCCACACCCTTGCTAAACAGATCCGGGAGATTAAGAGGACCCTAGAGATCTTTGAGGCACTTTGCAAGTAGCGCCTTTTTCAGAGCAACTGATTAACTTGTCAAGTGATGGGAAGTGAGGCAGGGTGGACACTGATTCAGACTCCAAAAAAAGGGAAATGATATGTATGTGTACTTTCTTGCACTATATCATAGCGACTGTAATAAATTATGACAGTGTTTCTCAAGATTTATGAAATCTTGCCCTGTTTGTTATTTATTACAGTGTCTTCGCACACCTAAACTAGGAAGCTCATGGGCTCACCTGCCCATTTTATGCAACCCTGCATCTCCCCACCACTTATGCTGCTTTACCTACATTCCCTGTACCTCTCCCAGCCCGACTCTGCCTTCAGCCTGCAGTTCCACTTCTCTCGTCAAGCCTAGTGGGATCCTGACCTGCATTTTAAGCGACAGGACTGGACTATTTATAGGCCATCTACCAATTTGATATGCTCTTTTTTGCTGCTGAAAATGAAGCAATAATTTCCATGTGACCAATTGGTGTCAGGGCTCAGAACCTCTTTCAAAAAGTTCAAGTCTTAGTATCTGATTTTTCCACGATATATTATTGTGGAAAAACATGCAGCATGGCTATACGAGAGGACAACTGAGCAGCTGTAACACAAGGTGTCCTTTCCTAACTTAGTTGGTTACACAGCAGCCCAAAAAGCATCTTGGACTAGGGGACAGGGCTTGTCATAGGCATGATGTGATTTTAAGGGCGTTATGGGGTCCAGGATTTCTTCACATGGGGTTGGATCTAGACTTAGGCATGTACAACTGTGCTGGCAAAAGTGGACTTTTCTGCCTCTTGCTCCCCACAGCAGCTCCCTCAACATGCTATACAGAGGTTGTAGGATGCTGCTGAATGGGGTGAGCTGTGGTGCACGGGAAAGGGGGGCTACGGGACCTTCTGCAAAGCAGAACTTCTCCGTTTACCAATCTCGGATCCGGTGGCTGATTTATTATATTTATATCTTGCCTTTTTTCCTTGTAAGACACTCAGGGTTGCTTTCATAATTGTCCTCTCAATCTTATCCTCAGAACAACACCCTGTGAGGGAGGTTGGGCTGAGAGTCTGTGACTGGCCCAAAGTCACCCAGCTGGCCCCGTGGCCGAGCGGGGACTCGAACCCGGATTGCCTCAGTCCCAGTTGCACTCGTGACCATTATACCACACTGGCTCTCTGTTAGTAGTTCTTAGTATATTCTTAGAGAGTTATGAAAGTTCATCTGTATAAGTTTCTCAAATAATAACTGTCAAAAACCAAGATAATATCCCAATTAGGATGCTTACATACCAATAAGCTAAATAATTATCATCCCTTCTATTATATTAGGGTATGCATCCTTGAATTACATCAGGAGTAATAACAATTTCTGTCTGCACTTTGGTTTTTTTCCCTTAATAGTACCCACATCTCATCTATTTATATTTCACTTTTCAACAAAGATTGGCTGAAAAAACAGCTGATAACTATTAAAAGCCATCATGAAATGATACAGTATATGATGTAACAGCACTTATATTAGGTGGCAGCAGAGTGACGAAAGAAAGAAGAGACATATTTGCTACTCACAATTCTAACTTCAGAGGGGTTTGTTTGTTGCATTGCATCGTGGTTGCCAAAGTCTGCCAGTCTAGCTGATTTCTTCTCAGCATTTTAAAATGAAAGCCAATAGCCAACCTTCATTAAATTCACCATATTTTACTGATTAGGACCTGATAGAATACTGGTGCTGGAGATGATAAAGGAACTGCTAAGATGTTAGTCTGTTGCTTCTTCCACACTTTGCTTGTAGATGACTGCTGTTTGGTGTTATGGCTCTTTCTTGGGTGATACAGATGATATTTCTTGGGAGGAATCCAGTGGTTTTTAGACTCTTGGTGGACACCCAGGTTCTCCTGGTGTACCTCATGTTCATAGTCTTTTTGGATCCAAAAACACATTTGGGTATTTAAGAAAATGCTGTGGACATCACTGCAAAATGAACTCAGTGGAGGATGTGGCAAATCACATAATGGCTGTGGTGGGGGGCTGATTAGTCAAGGGGTGAGTGGGGAGAGAAAAACAGTGGGGGAAATGGAATAGTTGCTTCTTGGCTCCACTCCATTTTCTTCCAGTCGCACAGACTGTTGCCCTTTGCGCACACTTTCTTCTCTCTGCTCCCAGCTGTTAGCCAGGCTCTTTCTCTCCCGAACCCATCCTCGGTGTTTCTCTCCTGTCTCCCGCAACAGCCTTCTTTCTTTGCCACCCAACCTTCAGCCTTGCACTTTCTCTTCTATTTATCTATTCATCTTGCCATTTCTCCCCACTCCAAGCATCCAGCCTTGCAGTTTCCACACCAGCACCAGCACCTTGCTTCACTGTCTCCTCTCTCCTGCCGCTTCTATCCCCTTGACTTGCTTTTTCTCCCTGCCTGCTGAATAGTGGATCACTGGCAGGCTCAGGAACAGGAAAGAAAACCTGATACTCAGAAGCGTTCAGTGTTTTGTTTTGTTTTTGTTTATTGAAGGGGATGGGGAGTGAAGAATTGTGTTGGTACCACTAGAGGTGCCACAGACTTCATGACACCCATGGGGACTGTACTGTTTTCCTTCTGTTTTATAGCTACTCCACTGTGGGCATTTGGGCATGAGGCATCCTGCTAATGCTCATCTTCAGTGATGACTTGTGCTGAGATACAGAGCGTCTGGTACAATCGGTAGATTTCCCTGACCAAATATTATTTTTCAGACAATACAGGCTTGGTTATGATTGCTGAAATTAGAATCTGCTTTGGTAAAATGTCAGCATAGAAGAACATAGTTATGATCTAAAAGAATGGGCCCGAGAATATACTGTTTGTGTAGCCAGATTTTAAAGGGCCCAACCATGAACACACATTTTATGTCACCTTAAAGTCTTAGGAGACATACTTAAGTGGTCTAGCTTTGTGGGAAAACTGTGGTTTACAAGAATAAACCAAAGACTCTACACAGAACTGTGCTTTTTTTCAAAAAAAGAAAAGCCGAGGAAAGTTTCGCCTGTATCTGAGCCCCGGCACTTCTGTGCTTAAAAGTTAAACACAGGAGTCAGAAAGTAGCCAATGCTCTAGAGCAGTAATTATGGCAGAAAACAAAGGCGCTATCTCACGCGGTGAGGATGGGGGCGGGGAGGTTAGAAGTACAAACGTGAGAGAAAGCTGTGCTGTGATATAAGGGTTGAGGGGAACCTTTCAAAACCTCTCTATGCCCCTGCTTCATAAAGGGTGACCCTCAAGTAATACCGCTCATCCGAAAGCAGCAGGCGAGGGCAAGGCAGGAGCGGCCACGCGCCAACGACTCCCGCGTGGGCGGGACAATTAACCAGGCGCGCGAGCCTGTTCCGCGCCTATTTTTAGAGACGCCTCCGGCCGGGCGCCGTTGGAAAGTCCGGGCGCCGCCAAGCGGAGTCGCTCCTGAGGGTGGCAGGAGGTGGCCGCTCCGTTTCTCGCTCCTTCCCGCCAAGTTTTGCTTTGTGGGTCTCCTCTAAAGCACAGACGGGAGAGGAGATGGGGACTGGGGAAAGAGGTGATAAGCAAAAGAAACTCCACAGCACGACATCCCTTTAAAAGTGGTAGTGGATGGTAACCTTGAAAGGGTTGCACAACACGAGAAAATAATAAACCACTTAATATATAATTACATAAGCTTCAAAGTGAAAAATGTTATGTTGTGCTTTTAGTTAAAAACAAACCTGGGAATAACAAAAATAGACATGCTGTTCAGGATCTAGGAGTAGGAACTGCAGAGTAAAGGCAGGGTTACAGCGTTTGCGGTATGCATGCCAAGATAGGGATGTGAGATACATTTTAAAAATCGGTAGAATTGCTTATAAGATTAGTGCAGGGCACTTGTCATATTTATTGTTTAAAACTTTGTAGACAATATTACTGTCTCTTGAGATTTTAAAACAATCATAAATAAAATCTGTAGATAGTAACTTACAGCAGATTAAAATTCCTAGGTTAACAAAAATGGTTTTGCCTAGTACATGGTTGTTATGTGGTGGCAAGTCATCTCATCTTTATGGTAACCTTATGAATGAAAGCCCTCCGAAATGTCTTGTCCATGGCAGCTCCATTTAGCTCTTCTAAGTTCAAGACTGTGACTCCCTTTAAGGAATGGATCCATCCCATGTTTGGTCTTCCTCTTCTGTCTACAACTTTATCACTATCTCTTCTCCAGTCACTTCTCATGATGAGCCTAAAATATGACAGCACTGAGAGAGTTATAAACTTTTCATTCAGCTGTAGGACAATTATGGGTCATCCCTTTTTTTTAAAGGTTGGCTCTTGTTCACAAACACTGCAACCATATACAACATGATAAGCATTACTTCTGTAAAGTGTAACTCAAACAAACAAAAACTACTTTTAAAGGGGTGCTGTTTTTGAAATGATACTGCCAGGAAATGCTTTGATTGCTATTCAGATACATCCAAATAAGTTCTTTTGAATGGTGAACAGAACTGCTGAGCAGCATTGCTTGCTGATGTTCAATATACAGATGCAGTGATCATGCCTATATCTTGCGAATGAAATTAAACACAATCTAGTCTTACATTATATAAAATATGAAGAGGCTAGTACCATATCTGCAACTTCTGCATTGGTTCTTGGTATTGTGGTTAATTGTTGTAAAGGGCCAGAATCATGCAAACCTTTTCTGATGCTGAAATTAACACACTGATCTTCTTGGACAGAGTGAATATGCAAATATATCCATGTAGAATCCTAGAAGAGTAGAGTTGGAAGGCCATTAAGGCCACTGAGTCCAACTCTCTGCTTGATACAAGACTCTAAGTTAAACCAGAAGGCTGTCCAACTACCTCTTGAATGCCTCCAGTGTGGAGAGCCAGCAACCTTCCTAGGTAATTGGTTCCATTGCCTTACTGCTATAAACAGTCAGGAAGTTTTTCCTGCTGGCCAACCTGAATCTGGTTTCCTGTAGCATAAGTCCATTATTCCATGTCCTGTACTTTGGGATGATTGAAGTCCTCACTTACAAAACTATATGGAAATACATTTGGAGAGCTGTCCAGAGACAAAAGTGATTGGATGGGCTAGAGATATCCCAAATAAATAATTAGAAAAGATGATGTCATGCATACAGATTTGTGTTGAAATTAGTTTTACATTTCACTGACAGGAATTAAAATTAGAAACACAACACACTGCTGTTGGTCCCATTAGGAAACTAGTTACTAATGGATTATCTATTATACGTAAAACAAAGACAGGGGCTTGTTAAATATACTATTAGCAGCCACAACAGTGAAAATTCCTCCTCAGAAATCAACATTTTCCCATGAAGGCATAAGCCCATAGTCCCCATAAACACAGACAGTAGGGCAGAGGAGGGGAACATTTTTCCCTGTTGAGGACCATATCATCTTGGCAGAAACCTTATGCCACACTCCAGCAGTGCACTAAAGTCAAAGAGGTCAGAATTACAGGTTTGATTCTTGCTTTTGTTCACTACCAATTAGAGCGAGAGTGAGGAAAAGCATTGGTGTCCTGACATTTTCCTTCCTCGGTTTGTGCAATGTTCTCTCCATCAGTTTTGTAGCTGGGGGACAGAGCAAGACAGATTAAATAATACAAGAAAACAGAGTGGGCGTAGGGAGGGGCATCACTTGCATTTTGTGATAGAGAGGTACAGGGGCTTTCAACCTTTTTTTGCTCATGGCTCCCTTCTTAGCCTCATTTACCTCTTTTATTTTATTTGGAAAATAGGTACCAACTGTATTGTTTATTAATCTAAAATGCATATAGTTGATTTCTAATGAATAATAATTACATATATTACAGATTGTATTTTTCATTAAGATATTTATTGTAAACTGTAGTAATTTTCAAAATTTAATCTGCTAGCATTAGCATAGAGAATGAGATGTGAGAATTATGACAAATTTGATCATATGCCTGGCAGTTAAGCTTGGGTGGTCCCCTCACAAGCTTATTGTGCCTTGCTAGAACTATGGCATGGCCCTCTGGAGGCCCATATGGCCCACACTGAGAATCACTAGTCTAGAGAAAAGGGAGTTTCCCAAGGTCTGAAAAAGAGGCTTGAGGGTCCCCCACCTCTTACTTCCATGGAAGTGGGACTGACTTCCATGTAAACATGCATAAGAGCCAGTGTGGTGTAGTGGTTAAGAGCATGGGACTGGGACTCAGGCGATCTGGGTTCTAGTCCCTGCTCAGCCATGGAGCCAACTGGGTGACTTTGGGCCAGTCACAGACTCTCAGCCCAACCTACCTCACAGGGTTGTCGTTGTGGGGATAAGATGGAGGAGGAGAATGATGTAAGCTGCCTTGAGCCCTTTGTAGGAAAAAGGCAGGATATAAATCGAAAAATCGAAAATAAAAATAAATAAATGCATAAGACAATGCTGTAATCCTTACTATGTCTAGGAAACAAATTATAGCCTCACCTATTCACCTGCCTTTTTTGTCTCCCCTCTCTCAAATTTTATATTGTACCCTCCATGGGGCAGGGCCCTACTTTCTTATCCTATGTAAATGTGCATCATGCACAGTGGTGACACCAGTTAAGATAATTGGTATGCTTTCTGTTCCGTTCCTTCAGTCAGAAGAATATGTACTCAGTGTCAGGGGAGGGAAAGAAAAGGTTCACATTTTCTGCTTCACAGTACCGAAAGCAAGGATATTTGAGAATAAGACTTCAATGTGTTCTGTTAAAATGTGCACGTGCACACACGTTTCAGTATTTATCCTGACTGTAACATTTATTTCCACAGGTAATGGAAAGAATCTGAGTTGCCAGTGCAAAAAACAGCAATTGCTTAACATGTTTGAAGAGCAATAAGATATACTAATGTACAATTTCAGAAACAAAATGATGTCATAAACTTCTTTTTGAAATGAAGGACATGCATTAAATGTTATTATTTCTGCAACGCTCCGGGATATGGATGTTTCTGTTAAGAAGAGTAACAACTCTAACTTGGGGAAGTGACTGAGTTAAAACCGTAGAGCTTATACAGTTGCTGCTGCCTAGAAAGGACTCAGAAGGAAGTACAGCTGTAGAAGGGGCTTAATCATGAAGGGACCTTCCTGTTGCAAGCCGATCTCCATAGCTAGACACCTAGCAGCATCCCCATGCCCACTCCTTAATGAAAACAAAGCCAACAGGGAACACGTAAGGGAGGCAACGCCAAATAACAAGGTTTGACTGGGCTGCAGTAGCAGCATCTCAGTAGGCAGTATAAGGAGAAGACGAAGGGAAAGGGGCTGTAAAAGAGGGGGGGAGTCAAAACAGTAACGTAATCAGGAAATTGTCGTTGTGACAGGAATGTAAGCATTAGGGTGGGTGAAGCAAAGGAGACCTGCCCCCTTTCCAGACCAGGGGAACACAGGATCTATATAGTTCGTTAGAGGATCGCTTCAGAAATGAAAAATCTTACTGTATTGTGGTGTAGCTTTTTAAAAAAAACCCTGTTATGTGGACCTCCATGAAGCTTGGGATTGACTGTTCTGTTCTATCACAATCTGTACATATTATATCTGCATGAATTAGTGGGACATATCTATTATGTAAGATGTTTGTTTAGGAAGCATGTGCCACAGAACTATCTGGAACGTGTGTGTGGCATTTCATTTATGGTCCTCTGTAGTGCACTCGTATATGGTGATTATTTTGAGTGTTACAGGTCTTCAGACCTATAACACATCTTACCCTGCACAAATCTGTTTCTTTCCCCACAATCAGGACTCCCTAGTGTTAACTCCACTGTGACTTCCTGTATGGAAAGTGGGAAAGAAGAATGTGTCCTGGATCTCCAGGACTCCAGCGAAGAAGAGACACTACAAGGTGAGGAATGAGTGAAACTCTTGTAGCATAATGGTTACAATATTGAACTTGAATCAAGAAGCCTCTTGTTTCAGATCTCACCTCTGCCACAGCCTTACAATATGAACTTGGGTTAGCCACCATTTATTAACAGCTTTCTTTAGACATCTGAAAATGAGACAGTATAGAACAGATCCTCAGGCCTACCAGAAAGAAACCTAGATGTAAAACTTGATTTCACATTCTTCCCTTCTACAAAACCCAGGAGGTTGCCCTTTTCTAGTTTCCTTGATCTCAATCAAAATAACTCATTTCCATTCCTCACTTTTTGAGGTTTCAAATATTCTGTCAATTCTTCTCAATTTGTGGGAGATTCCAGATAACATATATTGACTACTTAGATGTATTTAACCTTTTTGCTAAATTGTGTGATGCAGGAAACAAGTGTTGCTATCTGTCTTTCTCCCATTACTACCATGTGTGAGACTGGTGTTGAGCAAGAACAAGACTAAAATGAGGTAGGTGTTCAGTTGAGATGTGGTAAACTATTATTCTTTCTAGACTTAGAATGTATTAAGTAGCTGAGGGAAGTGAGAGTCTGTACTGAAGCTCTCTGTACAGCTGACTAGTTTTCACACAATCAGTTTTGAAAGTTGAACTCTATTTCATCTTGAAGGTGCTTTCAGAGCAATTAGTGCTATTGGTCAGGACATGCAACTATTCTGTCTTTTCCCTCTTTTTTATGGTGGCATTCTTATGAAAAGAAATAAAGACTGAAGAAGTGGTGGGAAAACATGGTGAGCATTGTAAGTTGAGGGTATCATCTAGATCCCCTCCCTTTAAAATGACATAAGGAAGGGTGATTGTATTAAAAGAGCCTGGTCTGGAAGCACCACAAGCCTTACAGAGTTGGTGTAGGTAAGATTGAATAATAACAACTGTAGTTTTAACAAAGGGCCCTATATTTAAATATAAGAAAACCTATTGCCATTCTCTTTTTATACTCTAACCTTACCCATTATTATATAATTTTCTTTTAATGGCAAAATTGTTGGCAACAGTAACCTACATAATTGGAACTGTTTTACAAGGTTTTGTGGCAGTTTGAAGCAGGAAGAAATCTGATTCAAGGAAGAGTTCCCACTGAATTTGTCATTATGTATTTTAACATCTCTAGCCTGTCCTCCCAAAGCACAAAACTGTGTACAGTATAAAGTTCTACATTTAGTTGTAATCTAATTTTTCTGACAGATAGCATTGAGATGATAAATGAAAAAGAAGAAACAGAACTGCAGAGCATACGGAAAGAAGACAAGAAGATTCATAGAAGGGCAGAAATGCAGCAAGAAGTCTCTCCAGAGAAGGGAGTTATGAAAGAAGGTTGTCCAGCAGTAACCACCCAACATGAGGCCAGTAATGGTGAATCTGTGATTTCTGTGGAACAGGAATCTACAGATAATCTTTCTGATAATGACAGGGTACCCAAAGCCACCATTTGCCCTGACTGTGGGAAAAGCTTTAGTAACAGCTCTCATCTAGTCCGGCACCGTCGTGTTCATACAGGTGAGAAACCATACAAATGTCCCCACTGTGACAAGAGCTACCGCCAAGACTCCCACCTAGTTCAGCATATGCGCTCTCACACAGGTGAAAAGCCATACCGCTGTACTCACTGTGGCAAGGGCTTCTCACAGAGCTCCAATCTCATCATCCACCAGCGGACACACACAGGTGAACGGCCCTTTACTTGCCCAGAATGCGGACGGAGCTTCAGCCACAGTTCTGATCTCATTCAACACAAGCGGATACATACAGGTGAGAAGCCCTATGTCTGCTCCATATGTGGAAAATGTTTTTCGCAGAGCTCCAAAGTTACCCAGCACAAGCGTTTTCACTCTGGGGAACGACCGTTTTCTTGTGGGGAATGCACTAAGACATTCCGTCTCCGTGCTGACCTGGTGCGCCACCTCCGTGCCCACACTGGTGAGCGGCCATTTGGCTGCCCAGAATGTGGGAAGCACTTTGCTGAGAGTTCCCACCTTATCCGACACCAGAGGATTCACATGAGCGAGCGACCCTTTCGCTGTCCAGACTGTGGGAAAGGGTTCAACCAGAGCTCCAACCTCCAGCAGCACCAGCGTGTGCATCGAGGCCAGAAACCTTTCAAATGTGATGAGTGTGGGAAAGGTTTTGGTGTAAGCTCAGCACTTTTGCAACACCAGCGCACACACACGGGTGAGCGGCCCTATTGTTGCAGCCAGTGTGGGAAGAGCTTCAGTGTCAGCTCCACCTACCACATACACCAGCGCATCCATGCTGGCCAGAAGCCCTACTCATGTGCCGATTGTGGGAAAGGGTTCGTGCGCAGTTCTGCTCTCCTTCAGCACCAAGCCACCCACACAGGTGAAAAGCCTTTCCGATGCCCATACTGTGGAAGAGGCTTTGGACAAAAGTCAGCACTCTCCCAGCATCGTCGAGCCCATGTAAGAAGAGGAGACACACTGGCTTTGGTGGAAGGGTGGGAAGCTGCTGGGATGGAAGGTGTTGGAGACCAAGGGATAGGAGGAGGCATGGACAGAATGTGGCAAGGCAATGGAATAGGGATTATGGAGCAGGAGTGGCAGGGAGATGGGGATGAGAACATGAGGCAAGAATGGGAGGATGATGGAGATGAGACTATGAGGAATGAATGGCCGGATGAAGTGGATGAGAATGTGGAGCAACAATTGCAGCAGAATGGTAGAGAGAACATGAGGCAGAACTGGAAGGGTGGTATGGATCAGACTGTGAGGACAGAATGGCAGGATGATGAAGATGAGAGAACAGAGCAGGTCACACAGGATGACTGTACTGAGAGCATGAGGCTAGAGTGCCATGATGATGATGATGATGAGGAGGAGGAGGAGGAGGAAGATAGGGTACAGGAGAATTTGCAAGCTGATGGACATGAGAACATGAGGTTAGAGTGTCATGATGATGATGGAAGCGCAGAGGAAGATTTGCGGGATGATGGGGATCAAAACATGAGGAAAAAGCATCAGGATGAGAATGTGAAGCAGGACTGGCAGGATGATGAAGTACAAATTGTAAGGGAGCAATGGAGGAATGTTGTAGATGAGAATTTAAGGCGGAAAAAGCTAACTGTGGAACAAGAGTGGCAGGACAGTGAAGATGATAGTGAAAGTTGGCTGGGAGATGGGGATGATAGCTTGGAGGGAGAGGGGAGACAGAGTGGGAGACCAGATTGCCGAGATGAAGATGAGGAGTCTGTGGAATTAAATTGATAGGCTTGGATGCAGTAAGAAAACGAGAATGGGATGCCTGGGGAGTTCATGTTATAGTCAGGCATGGCAAGCCACTCACTCAAGGTGTAGTGGAGGAAGAAAAAAACAACTGTACCTTGAGCCAAAGTGATCTAATTCTTTTGCAGCAAAAATAGATATATTTTTGTTTGTGGGAAATTCTGCTGTGGCTGTCTCCACTTGAAAGTGTTCCTAACTCCCAATACCTGCATGCCTGTGCTACCATCAGATGACTGCCATGGTCACACTGAATGACGATCCAGCTCCCTGTGTTGTCCTGAGTCTTGTGCCATTTGCTGATCAAATTAATTCCAAATTGGGCGATTTTATTCAGTCAGTTCTAAAATCTTACCCTACCTATGTACATGGTGTGCCATGCTTCCCACCCCAAACCATGTTCTGTTAAAAATCTGTGACGCTCCATTCCTGCAGTAGGTGCCTTTTCATAAAGGGGCGGGTGCCTTTTTAAACATGTGAGCAATTCTCATTGCACTACTGAGATTGACTTGGTAGCAAGGTTATCTCACCTCAGTTGGAAAGCTTTCAAACCATTGGCTTAAAAGGTGCTTTGTGAGCAAAATACCATTAACACTGTTTATTTTCACAGTTATTGTTTAAGAGCCCCGAGGAATCTGGGGAAATATGTAACACTCCAGTATTTAATTAGAACAGCTTTTAAAACTTTTACTGCATGTTCCAGACCCTTAACCCTCCTAACTAGTTATTTTTGTAATATTCTGATTTCCTGCCCTTATCTATGTCTCTGTCTTATGAATTAATAAATGCTCTTTCTGATTTTACTGAAGTGCCCTGAATTTATTTAACTTAGGGACATGGGCTATACCTCTTGTAAGCATTTTTTCAAAGAAATGTTATGATATATACTTGCATATAGCTTATGAATTTTGAACAGTTATTTATGGGTATAATTTGCAAGCAGAATGAGTTACAAGTGCTTGCATAATTTAGATAGCTGGTAAAAATTCCCTTCACAAAATCCATGAGTTGAGTGGATGTGTGAAGGCAGCTTGGACTTGCATTTCATAAAGAGCTGAATGTCAAGCCTCTTTTGAAACTTGTGAATGGAATTTCAGTAGCAGATTGTGGCATGGTATGGGAATTATTTGCTCAAAAAAACCCTTAGAATTCCACATGGCATTCCCAAAAGCCTGGGGGTACTGAAATACCTCTTTGATTCTGGAAAATAATTTCCATTATAATTAAAATGGCCTATCATAGTTGTGTATTCTGATCCAGTTTCTGTGAAGCTATTTACTAAATTAGTTGCATGGTACATTCCCATACTGTGTTGTACCATATAGGATATTCTGAAAGGCAGTTGCATTGTGGAAGGCATGTTTACATTATTAAAATAATTTTTTAAAAGCACTTCTTGTATATTGTGACTTGCACAATTCCCATTTGAAAATCTCTGTTAAAGGCCTGGAAAAGCTTGATGTGTGCTTGTACAGAATAATTACTCTAATATGCAATTGAAGAACAATGATGAGGAAAGATCCTATGTGGCAGGGATGGGGTTGAGGCCCTTAATCCTACAGAGAGCCATATATTGCTCTCTGGAGGATGGAACTGCTGTTTTATCTTTTTTTTCATTCCACTAATTTCATCTGTCTCTACTGTTCTCTCTCTCATATATACACACACACACAGACTCTCCACACATTGATGCTGATGCAGCCAAGCAGCATTACAGAAACAGCAATCTTAAATTAGGATCATTGTGGGAGGGATTTAAAGCTTTCTCTCCACAGCATTTTAGGTGAAGATTGCTATTTCATACTGCTGTTAACATGTAAATCATAAAATAGTACAGTTGGGGAAGGCTATGAAGGCCATTGAGTCCAACCTTCTGCTGTTTCCAGGACACCAGCTTACACCATCCCTCTCAGATGGCTGTCCAGTTTTGCCTTGCATATTTCTTGTGTGGGAGAGCCTGCAACCTCTTTAGGCAACTGGTCTCACTGCCGTAACGTTCTGACAGCGAGGAAACTTTTCCTGATATCTAGCCTGAATCTGGGTCATCACAACTTGAATAGTCACTTTGATTGTATTAGGATCACTTGGGAGGATGATTTTAAGATCTCCCCTACCCCAAGACCACTTTTCTTTGCTGATAGCTGGTTGGTGGGCTGTGCCTCCACACGCAACAAAGAGAAGCATCTGAGGGCCACATGTTGCCTACCAGTGTTCCATGGTTTCTTACCCAGAAATGGTGGTCTCTCTCACACATGCACACACTCACACACACAGTTGCCTGGGGTGTCCATCAGAGAGAGAGCAACAACAAGTAAGCATGCCAGTCCACATGAATTCAATTTCTACTTTCATTTCCTGGTTTCTGGCTACTTCATCATGTGTACCTGCAATCTGCTGCTCCCATTTATACAGATGATAGGCATCATTCCAAGAAAATCCGTGGAAACACCACAGACAAGTGCAATCACAGTTCCATTGTCCACAACAGATGTGCAAATGGCAGAAAAGTGATTACAGTCCTCACTGTTAGACTTGGAAAAAGTTCTTTTCTGCATACTGAATATTTAGTCCAAATATCTCAAGTATAATCTTTGGGAAGAAAATGAATCTGATCATTTAGGCTCAGTTTCTCCATCCAATGAGTCTGTAGAACATTTGGCATTTGGTATATCCCCCTCTACGTTTTCTGAATTGACTTGCTTCTCTGTATCAGCCCCTTGTTTGTCTTCCGGTTCTGACATCCTCATGAGTTCTTCTTGAAAGTTCATTTTCTCCTTGTAATTACGTTTGAAGAATCCAACCTACAGGGCAAAATGGAGGGAAAACTTTTAGCAGCATGAATAAATCACAATTTAAAGCTTTTGGTAGTCTTTGGCAACATATGGATTGGGTTTGCACATCATGCTATCCCAGCCTGCAAATAAATTGGTGTGAGATGTTCTGTGAACAACCTATGGTACACCTTGTTGATGACTGAGTTTACCATAGCTTGTTTTCAGTTTTCTAGCTGGCTCCAGCAGGTATCTCAGGTAACCCATCTTGTATCTTCCTCCCTGCTCTGATCCCTACCCCTTTTTGTTTGCCACTTTTTAAATTCTTGCAGCATCAAAAATGTACATTTGGAATTTTTAATTAACAACTGACTACTGAAAATCGCATGACTATGATCATGTTTACAAATTATTATTTTTGGTCTTTTGCAAGTGCATTCTTACAGTTGTTTGATATGTGCATACTTTCCCAGTCTACTTTGTATAATTGAGCTGTCAAGGAAGTGAAATGAATTAGATAATGTTCATGGAGATTAACAAGGTGAGACTGCATATAGGCTAATTTGTGCACAGTTGCCTAGCACCAATTGCCAAATTGTCAGTTGAAGAACACTGATAAAGCAGAGGGAGGTGGCTACCAGTGGTTGGCAAACTTTAACAAAATATATGTTGTGCACTGTATGTAAGCAATTTTATAATTTCCCAATTTTTTAGTCAGTTATGTAACTTGTGGGAGCACAGTTCCATGAGTGCACAAATTGGCAGCCTTTCTTGAGCAATGTTGGATTTGAGCTACCTGATGGCATAGTGCAGCAGGTACTGACCATGGACTTTGATCTAACAAGGCTTCAAATGGGTTTTATTTTTGCTTTTTCTTGACAGATCTCAAAAGGCAAGTTGTTAAGGGAAATCAAAGGCTTGTGTTAGCTTGCAAAATAGTGCTGGTATGATTATCACTCCTGTTGTTGCAAGATCCTTTTATTATTCCTGATAGTTCCTTTTAAAATGAGGTTCAGACAGGTGAATTTTGACATTCTTATGTCTTTTTAAGGATGACACAGAGTGTTGCAGTAAGCTGTCAAAATTTCTTCTCCCCAGAAAAAGGAGTGGTTTCTTGAACTAGAGTCTCAGGAAAATGTGCATCACCCTGAGAATTTTCATAGAGAAAGAAAAGGATCTTGCCACAAAGGTGATGTAAATCACACCACCCCCTTTTCATGAGTTAAGATAACTCATGCCTTTGCTTTCCCCCTTGACAGCTTGCTTTTTGAAAGCTGTTAAGAAAAAGCAAAGGGAAGAAGCACAGCATAAAATGAAAAAAAAAAAATGCACACATTGAGTGCTCGGTGGCTAACCACTGACAAACTGTTCAGTGTGGTGCTCAGGTACTCTGAAGAAGCTGTCAGTGGCTGTCAAAATAGGCATAACAAAAGCTGGCCGTCAAGCCAAATTTCGCAGTCTCCGGAAAAAAGAACAGAAAAGTGTGGGAGAGCCACAAGGAGCTGAAATCAGCTCACATTTGCACTGAGGAACACTCAGCTGCTATCTGTTGCCCTTGCTTGAGCACTTGTAGGGCAGCTGGTCTTGGCTAGGTCAAGAGTGACAAGAGACTTGCTAAGCTGCCTAGACAGCCAATGGGCTATGGGGTGGTGTACAAATGTCATATACATAGCTATTCGCTAGCTGATTCCACAATGGGATCAGTCAGGCTGGACTGGATGGCATAACAATTCATTTTGGTTACAATAGCTCCTTCAGCAATCCATGGATTTTCAAGGTGCTTGTTTCTGTCAAATCAGTATAATGCAACAAACCCAACAAATCTGGGTTCCCTTTAAAACGGAGTTTTGAAAGGGCAATGAGTGATTTCCTACAGGCAGATAGGGCTGAATATATGCCAGTCACAAACCATGCACTGCACTGTCAAAATTCTGTTTTTAAAGTAGTTCCAAAAGGGCTGGAATACAGTTTGCATTTTTTTTCAAGAAGCTACTGCCTCATGAAGAAGTGCAAAATGGGCATCAGCCTGAGAAAAGGTGGGAAAGGCACAGTGAACTGAAATTGGTTTGTAACTGTGGTGGGAGGAGGGCAGAGGAGTTGGAACTGGAATGCACACGGTCATTTAACACCCTTGATCCAGACAGTCTCTTCAAACTGAAGTAAATTGGAACTTCAGACTGAAGTAAATTGGTGGGAGGTGTCTCCCACCTCCAGAAGAGATCAATAAAATTGACTAGTCACTGTCACTGAATAAGAACAATTTGCACGGTTAATAGAGCCCTGGAGTTTGTAACAAATAAATCCAGATTATGTAAAAAGGAAATGTGAATGTCTGAAACAGAAAACACTATTGATAGTAAAATGTATCACTCCGATTTGTCAAAACTCTAGATGCTGAAATTTAATTTCTTCTTTAACTGTTTTTTTTATCTTTTGGGGTGTGGTCTCAGTAATTGTGCAAATTTTATTTATGGATTTTTATTCTACCATTTCTTATAATACATTATTTATTTATTAGATTTATATCGGGTCCTCAAACTTTTTCAACAGGGGGCCAGTTGACAGGTGCCAGCAGTGTGCAAGGGCCGCCAAGATGGTGCCAGTGGGGGGGCGCGGGCCGGTGCGGGGGCGGGACGTGTGCATACACGCGGTGAGATGGGAGGGCGTGCGGGATGAGGCACCGGCTTGCTCACAACGAGATCGTTTTCTCCAAGCAAGTCCAAAATGACCTTCTCGCGAGCAAGCCACACCCCCCCCATGCACAAATGGCAAGTGCAAAACCTCTGGGGCGGGCGGGCCAGTTAAATGGGCATGGCGGGCCTGATCCGGCCCTCGGGCCTTAGTTTGAGGACCCATGATTTATATCCTTATTTTTCCTTATAGCAAACTCAAAGTGGTTTACATCATTCTCCTGCTCTCAGTCTTATCACCACAACAACAACCCTGTGAGGTAGGCTGGGCTGAGAGTCTGTGACTGGCTCAGAGTCATCCAGTTGGTTCCATGGCCAAGCAGGGACTAGAAGCCAGATCATCTGAGTCCTAGTCCTATGCTCTCAACCACTACACCACACTGGCTGTCTGAATAAATATCTAGAAACATAGAAACAGACAAGTCAGAAGGGGTCTCCTGGGCCATCTAGTCTGACCCCCAGCTCCAACCAGCTCTGATCATGAAATACCTACCATCTAAAATACAGTATGACAGGCACAAAAAATATAAACATCAGTTGAGCATGCATGAAGTAACCCAATAAAACTTGCCCAAATAAATCTAAAACTGTCCAAAGAGATAAAGCATTTTTAAATGACTAGCAGAATCATTGCCATTCTCTGAAACACAAATGGGGAACTCCTCATGAATTTGTACAATTGATCAAATTCTACAGTTAAGTTTGATTAAAGATTTTCTCCTAATGCAGAACCTTCTTGGATTTGAAACAGTGGAAACTTCCACTGAGTATTAATATGGTTTGGTAAAGGACTGTACGTAGCAGAAAAGCAAATGCTCTATAGGCAAAAGGCCCCAGGTTTAATTCTCAGCACCTCCAGGTATGGCTGGAAAATACTCCCATCTGAAACCCTGGAGAGCTGTGGCCAATCAGATAAAACTGAACTAGATGGACCAACCTTCTGATTCTGTATAATAAAATACTTTCTTACCAACTGAAAAGGGAAATTTGGGTATTTTAACAGTGTTTGTTTTAAACTCTACTACTGCCAAGAAGTAGAACTTCCTAAACTACATCCAGTCTTACCTTGTAAAGTACTCCAATAATAAGAAATAGCAAGAACAAGCCTCCTACAACACTGCCTATTATAATTGGGAGATTGTTCATCACAAAATTCATCTCCACCCTGGTATCCTGTGAGGAAGAGAACAAAACATACACAAATTAATAATATTGAGTAAAGTCTGAGATGAACATCCTGGTTCTGAAGGACACAATTCAGCAGGGGAAAGGTTTCATTCAAGGCTAATATACTAACCCAATCTTACATTTTCCTCCAGCAAAGGCCTCTTATGTAATAGCTCTTTCCAAATAAATATCACAGACAGAAAAGACTGATATTTCATGCTTCTAAACTAGAAGCCCAATTATCAAATAGTCCAGAGCAAAGGCAACTGGTACATTTTTAGGGGGAAACAATAGACTACTGCAACTCTGAATTATTAAAACAATAAACCATATGCTAGGTTCTTGTGTGACTGTTTGATAATTCAGCCCTGGTCAATACAGAATCAATCTCTATTTTCGGGGGCAGGGGTAATCTAATCCAGGATCAAATACTGCTATTTCTGATTGCTCTGCAACCATTACACAGACCTTCTGAATGGACCTCACAGAACACAGACCTCACAGAATGGACCTCTGAGATTTTGTATAAATGAATGTTGCAAAGAATGAATGCTGCAAGCAATATGAGCTAATTTTTAGTAAGGGAAGAAAAAAATAATCCTAGAAGCACCCACTACCTGAAATAGAGCAAATTCATGACCGTAGACATTTGTGAATCTTCTGGTGTTAAATGTTAACCACAAGGCTGTGCAAAACTTGGACTGAGGGAAGTGCTAAGAGGATAGAGAAAAGAAAAGGAAAGACAAGCTGTAGATCAAATTGTATGACATAAACCATATGCAAAAGTTCTCAGTTTTCAGGTAAGCAAGAAGTCTGCTTCTAAGCATATATGCTTGTATTAAACAACTTAAAAGTCACATTGACTGGGTTCAGACAACACAGCAACCTGCACTAAAGGGTAGGGTATGAGTTGTCATTGAACTGTAGGTTATCATCCAGCTAAGATAACTAACCATGGTGACCAACTCATCACTCTCAACCCATGGTTCATTAGTACAGCTGGGTTCAGACAATATGATAATTGACATTTCAGCAACCACCCTCAGTCAACTTTTACTCATCCCTTGAATGTGGGTTATAGTGCTGTCCAAACCCAGTCATTAACTTGGTGATTGTCTTGAGAGGTGAAAGAAACCCCCTCAAAGACTGTACATGTGTAGCTACAGTTTATAAAAATAGAGTAAGGACATCACAAGATGTGAAGCATGTTTGGCCAAAATGAACAGATGATTTATCTTCAATATAATGGTAATTAAAATATTCAAAGGTACAGAAGAGCTCTCACCTTGATGGCAGAGCACTTGCTTTGCATGTAGATTCATCAGATTCATTCCCCAACACCTCAGGCAGGGCTAAGAAAGACCCTTGCCTGAAATCCTGCATTGCTGCTGCCAACCAGTGTGAACAGTACTGAACTAGCTGAACCAGAGTTGACTTGGCATGTAACAGTTTAATTCCAGTTTAGTCAGACAACAAACCCAGGTCCCAGTTTGTGTCCAGTACACATTATTCTTCTTGGACTATTTATCAATTTACCTCAGGTTTGTCTTTGAAATACATCAACCCAGTAATATTGATTGTAGAGGAATTTATTGGTCCAAGATCACATTTAAAGATGCGGTATTGGTCAGCTACACATTGCTTGGAAGAAAAAAAAGGTGTTAAAGGAAAGATCCATCTATACTTAAAATATCTTTCTCAGATTACATTGCTAGAACTGACTAGTACTTGTGACCAAATATTCATATCTATAAATAGCAGGCCATGCAAATTTGCTTCCAGGCAATGGCAGTAGAACCCAGAGAGGAAGGATGAAAGACATTTGGGGTGTCATCTTTGTCCCAGAGATTGACTGTTGCTGCTGTTTCCAAAATGAGACAAGTCAGAGGAAGAATAACCAGGACTGGCTATTCTACCTGTGGTAATTATTCCTCCAACACAAAGAAGGAATCACCACCACTGGCAAAAATGAAGTTGCTTTACTGATAAGGCATTTCCTGTGGTAATTTTTTCACATTATTGCAATAGTTAAATTATAGAATGGGCACACCAAAAAGTGATCTACATAAGAAGGTGAAGATGTTAAAGGCAACCTGTCTAGCATGGAATGCAAAACTCTAAAGAAAAGAAAAAAGAAAAGACTCAACTATTTAAACCTAGGGTTATGCTTTCTTCACAGAAAAAAAACCAGGACATTCAAGGAGTCCCCTTTGATGAAGAAATTCTTCAGGTAAGCTAGTTTAGGATTGGAGCTGAACTGGCAGATGAAGAATAGCAATGCCCCATGAGGTCATGTTGTAAGGTACAGACTCACACCCGGCAGGCCAGTGCTGCCCCCATGGAATCAACAGCAAGCTGGTTGCAATAGAAGCTATTACAGGTTGCTCATTTTCATTTGCATGTGAATGAGAATTCATGACCCATAGTTTAATCCTTTTTTTACATCTTAAGACCAAGATCTGTTGCCCCATATGTTCTGGGCTACCTAACAGTTTTGATCTGTTAACAGCACTTCTAGGGAAAGGAGCTTAACCCTTCACATCCTTCATTCACCTCTTTATCTCCCTACTCTTATATCCCAATATACACTACACTCCTCCAACTTTATCACCCACCACCATCTGAAGGTCCCTACTCCCTCACAAGACTTTTCATCTTTCTCCCTTACTGCACTTTATTCTTGGAACTACTTCCCAGACCACCTGTATGAGATTGCCTTCCCTCACTCCAAATTTCTCCATAAGACCTATATTTCCTATGAAAGCTTTGGTACATTTCCCTAGTTCACATACGCTACACTGCAGGATGAGCAGACTTCAGGTTTGTTAGATCTAACAGGTGTTTTAACTACAGCCCTGAGGTACACCAGGTGTAAAAGAGCAGCTGCAGGAGTACAATAGATGTACAGTCAGAATTAAGGATTGCAATGCCTCTGAGTACTCTGCCTGATAATTTAGCTCAATTGGGGAAAGGTACACAGAGGAATTTCCTTACTATCTATTCCTTACTTTACATTAGCTAAAGGATAATGTAATCTCTGGTCATATTCTGGGGATACAGGCACATACAAAAATGACAGCTGGCAGTGAGAGGAGCCAGTTCTTCCATTGCAATCCAAGCCTTCATTCAAATGGGAGGCAGATGAAAAAGGCTGTGTAACTTTCTCCTTGCTAAAAAAGGCATGGAAAAAAGAAAAATGAATGAGGTGAACTTAATTACATCTGTGAGTCATGCCCACTGATACTATCCAATCCTCAAAGGGCCTGGTCAAGGCATTTCATCCCCATACCTTCACGCACTTGCCCACCTGTCCATCAGTAATCAGCAATTCTTGTTGGTCAACTGTAAATCATCAGAGATCTACTGACAGATCCTGATCGCCCCATTCCTGCCCTACTATAACCAAAACTTAGTATACCAGTACAAGAGAGCAATTAGTTCTTCACTTATGTAACCTTCTCCCCCCGCACATCCCCCATACTTCTACCATAGTTGTACATGGCTGGAACTATATTTATTTAACTAATAATCTTGGCACAGATTTTAAGATACAATATTTCATCCTGAGATACTCTACCTCGACCAACTTGGAATGGCTCCGTATGCTATTGCCCAGTGGAAGGGCTTGACAGACCACAGAGGGATCCTAGGAGGAAGGAAATTCCCCATCACGATCATCATTGCCATCATCATTTATATACTGCTCAATAGCTGAAGTTTTCCATGTTATCATACATCACTTATGTAAGTTTTAGATTAGTGTATCAGATTGTTAAATGAACCATTGGCCATGCATATTTCCAATGAGGGTTTTTTTTAAAATTTGCACTGCTGTATTCATCCTTTTTCTACCCACAACAAATCCAGGAAGGAGAGGAAAATGGAACAGAAATGCAGTTTTTTAGCAGATATGGACAGGAAAATGTGCCACTGAGGCACACCAGGAGGTGTTGTCCCTGGGGAAAGTGGATGACCAATCAGTGTTGGATGGGGGGACTCTGAAATTACAGAACAGCTGTCTTCTTTTCCCTTTCCTTTTTTAAGGAGACACAGCCTATTAATTGCTGTCTTCATGACCCACTTTGAAGAAACAATGCCTTCAAATGTCAGGATGACAGGTAGCAAAGGTGAAGAAGGAGCAACATCCAGTGGTTTCCTAGTCAGGCTGTGAAACTTACTGAGCAGGTTGTGGTTTGCAAAAACTAGGAAAATCTCATCCACTTGAAATGGATGAGAAAAAGCAAGCAGGCCAGCTAGTTCATTTATTGTATGCTGTCCCAAGACATATGTAGTGGATGGGTTAGAAAAGTTTTTGATAAATAAATAAATGGAATGAAACTTACCAGAAAAAGTCAAGATTTACATCCCCATCATACCCTTATTTCCTCGGAAGTAAAGCTTTAGTCCACTTGCCCTGTGCTACAGGCACATTTTGTTTACAATTAAACATACCGCCCCCACAAGAAAAAGTGAGTTCAAATGGCGCTATGAACTTGACAATGGCTTCAAAATGCTGAGAGAAAGGGTGAGTGGCAACCACAAGGGTCCAAGAAAGGGGAGGGGGACTATGTGGACAGAATATAATGAGATGCACACACTGGAAAAGCATCCCCGCCCCCAATGTAGACAGTGCATAGGAACTTGACACTTACACCAGAAGAACAATGACTGGCCAAGCTACACTCCCTTTATCTGGAAGTGCTTATCATTCACCTCTCCAAATGGCGCTGAGGAGTTCAATGGGGATTCCAACCTATCCTTTGCTACCCTGATCTAGCACTAGGGGGTGCTGAGTTTCCATCTTGCACTTTCATTTCCCACTCAGCTGTTCTATATAACACTTACTGTTTGGATATTATCCACATTCCACATCAAACTCCCAGGAAAGGTGGTTGGCACTTTCACAAACGCCATCACTTCAGGAAGTGGGGAAGTCTTTATGACTTTGTTTTCTACCTGGGGTTTGTGAGGGAGGGAAGGAAGAAATAGATAAAGAAGATTCAACAAGTTAAACTGTTTATGGCCAGTAAATAAGCCTTGGGAAAGACATTAACCTTTTAGAAGGAGGTCAAACTGAAAAGCCAGGAAACTACCAAATGATCAGCAGTTTTGAAAAAGGTGAGGCAGAACCCCTCCAAAAAAGGTGAGTTTTTGCACCTTTGAGCTAACTAGACTCAAACCTGCTCAGATAAAGTAAAGTTTTTGCATCACATGCCATTGGCCTGATACATTTGGCTTTTGGGAATCATTAATGATATCCTAAATCTCTCCTTTTCTGAAGTTTGTGGGCTTCATACTCACTTTATATAAGTGCGTCACAGTTTCATTGTTTGGATTCAGGGAACTGAAGTTAACATCCTGGGTAGATGTATCTAACCTGGGTTAGAGTAAAAGCAGACATAAGGATGAGGGAGGGCAAGGTGTAGGGGCAAGGAGAGTCCCCCATGTGCAACATTCCCCACAGATTGTGACTGGCAGAAGTAGCAGCAAACTGAGCAAGCCATTCAGAACTGCAATCCCCTGGGCCCATGGTGACCAAGGAAACTTCAACCACTCACATTATTAGTTAGAAAGGAAACTAAGCCTGGGAGTAAGCTTGTTGTTACCAGCAGGAGACACGTTATGTTCTGCTGCAGTCGTGACCATTTGCTATATGGCTCTGTGCATTATAACAGAAGAAGTCTGCACAACACCCATACAAACTGCATGAATCCAAAGATACTTTTTGTCTTGGTTTGGGCGTAAGTCAAGTCACAATTACGGGCACTGTTTATCCAACATGGAAAAAAGGCTAATAATTTGGTTGTGATGTATCTAGCCAAGTTGTTTCTTGTAACTTTAGGGGCAGCTGCATGCTATGCAGGAGATACAGCACATGATAGCCTTTCCTTCCCATGGCAGTTTATGATTTAGAGACATCCTCTTATTTGGAACACCAGTCAACACTTCCATAGAAATTGGTAATTCGTGCTCATGCCTTATGGGAAATCTTCTTTCCTTATGAGCAGTAGAGCCAAGGTGGCTCAGACCACGGGTTCCGGGCATCCAGTTCTCTGTTTGCAGTGCAGCCAACCAGCTGCCTGTGGGAAAGCCATAAATGGGACACGAAAGCAATAGCACCCTTGTGTTCATACCCCCCTGCATACTGCTCCTGATACTAGATCATTTTCAGGAATACAGCCATTGCAAGGCTTCTCCACCATGTAGTCATCAAATCCCCATTTAAAGCCACTCATAGGAGCACAGAATAGTACAGCTGGAAGGCGCCTATAAGGCCACAGAGCCCAACACCCTGCTCAGTGCAGGTCCACAAGTTAAAGCAACCCTGACAGAGGGCCGTCCAAGCGCCACATGGATGCCTCCAGTGTGGGAGAGCCCACCGCCTCCCTAGGTTATTGTTCCACTGCTGTACTGCTCTAACAGGCAGGATTTTTTCCTGATACCTAGCTGGAATCTGGCTTTCTGTGACTTAAGCCCATTATTCCATGTCCTGCAGTCTGGGATGATTGAGAAGAAATCCTGGCATTCCTCTCTGTGACAACCTTTCAAGTATTTGAAAAGTGCTATCATAGTGCTATCTACTATTCTATGAATCATGTGGCAAGGACCGGGTTTGGGATTAATCTGTCTTTTTACCCAGTCTTCATTCTGCAATTTATGTTCATAGATCCCGAATCACTGCACTCCCAACTTCACTGTAGCTGTGAAGGTGCTAGCAAATTTGTGGGAAGCACACAGTGGGGAAAAGTGATATTTAGCACTTAGCCCTCCAATTTCTTCTCCCAATAAAAATCTCCCCTGCCCCCAGAAAAGGAGAAAAACATAGCAACCTATTCTTCCCTTCAAAGAGAAAAATAAGCAGCAGCAGCTGAAGACAAGAAATCAAATTTTGATTGAGAAGCTATTGTGAGGGTAAAGAGCTAAATACCCACTTGCTTCTCCTCCACCCCACTGCAGATGCTTTCAAATATTTGACCATCTCCTGCAGATGAGTTTTTAAAACATGAACCTTAAAGCTGCTAGATCCATTCAGAGATCTCTTATGTGGCATTTGGTGTAGTTCTTTGACCTAGTTCTCACTGAGATAGTAAGCCCAGGCTGGAGCTATAGTACTTCACAGATCACATGAGTACAAATCAAATCACCCCCCTCCCCCCCCACACCCATACCCAAAATAACCGCTAGAAATAGGGGGAAAGGGATCTCCTGTAGACTTCTATCTGACATACAGTTTTATGTGGATAAGCTTTTATCCTGCATAGAAGCAGACACACAAAAGGACAAGACATATCCACAGAGAGACAAAGGTGTGAGGCATTCAGGATGCTGAATACTGCAAGCAATACCAAATTCTAGGCATGCACTTACACAGAATCATTTCTCCAATCCTAGCTAAGGTTTTTTTTAACTCTGCCCTCATCTGTGGGGGCAGGGGAGGAGAGAAAAGGCAGTCCGTCTCTTACCTATTAACAATTATGTGGATGGGATACTGGACCGGGATGGTAATATTGGCCTTGTTATCGTGAAGCGTGTCGTTCTTCTCATTGTTGCTATAAGGCAGAGAGAGTCACATAGTGGCCATGAAGACACAACGTATTCTTAAATGTGCTTGTTCCACAAACAGTTCCAACTTCTGCATTCATATGCAGCCAAAAGCTTTTACATAAATTTTGCAGTACATAATTCTCCACATGCCTCCTATATTGCAGTATGATAAGTTTTTCTAACTCTGCCCGGTACATCTTCTCAAGCCCCCAACATTCTTTCTCCTTCCCTATCTTGAGTGAAAGCCCTGTGCTTAGGAGGCAGAGGTGTTTCCAGACAGAGAGATCTTAGTGCTACGAATTAGAAGGCACTGTGCAGCTATTCCATCGTTTTTGCCTTATTTTTTTCCATAAGTTAAAAGATAGAGAAGCATGAGAAAGAAACGGATTATGAATGGAAGATGACTGGGTAGCCTGAAATTTTGTGAATGATAAGAACTTCATCTGGAAACACCACAGGACACTTCTAAGCATCTACTATAGCATGGGTCCTCACACTACAGCCCACGGGCTGGATCTGGCCCACCATGCCTATTTACCCAGCCCGCCAGAGGTTTTGGACTTGCCGGGCGCGCGCACACGTGTGGTGAGGCGCCGGCTTGCGAGCAAGGAGATTGTTTTGGACTCTCTCAGAGAAAACGAACTCTGTTCATGCCTGCCCTGTCTCGCTGTGCATGCGTCTCCCCCCCCTGCCCCCCGGCCTGGCCCGCGCCCATCGCTGGCACCTTTCATCTGGCCCCTGTTCAAAAAGTTTGAGGACCCCTGTACTATAGCATAGTGCTAATGCTGTATAAAAGAACAGCAGAAAAGGGTTCAGAGCAGCAGACAGAAAAAGCTTACCTGCTGACATATGCCTCCAAGTCCAAGTTGTCTCCCCACTGACTTTCAGTATTGCCATCAAAGCAGAGCTGGATCAAAGTCTGAAATGGAACAGGGAAAAGAAACAGAGTAAGACAATTCATATTATCTTCTTCCTCCTTCATTCAGGAGCCTTTCATCCCCAGATTGCTGGATAATGGAATATGTATACCTTGACACACAAAATGATGTTCCCTCCACCCACACTTCCTTTAATGTTACACTCATGGCTGCCTTTAAGATGCATTTTACAGATTATATATCCTCTTGAGCTTAGAAGATGTTGATATGAGTGGAATGCCACTTGGGGAAGACGGAACTAGGAAATTTCCATCTGTGTGCAGCTGCCTTCATCTGGTGAGCTACTAAGGTGCGTGTTGCATTTTCTGCCCAGGTAACCTGCAGTCCGTAGGGATCTCCTCTGCAGCCCATAGAGCTCCTAATGGCCGGACACACCTTCCCCATTTGTGTCCCTGCACCTCTCCTGCTGTACCTTTTCTCCTCCAGGACCTGAAACAGACATTTTGCTGCTCTCTCCCAATGAACTCTATAGTTTCTCTCTCAAAAACATTATCAAGAGGGAAACTGTAGCATACAGAAGGAAGGAAACTCTTTTGCCACTCTAGCCGTCCATACTTGTGGATGTTCCTCATAATAATGTCATTTCTGAGACGTAAACCAGAACAGCCACTGCTTATCTTCTAACAGAGAGAAAAACATCCCTGCCTTGCAAAAGTAATTTAAGCTCCTGATGAAGATCCCTCCTTCCCCTGACAGGAAGTTAGGAGGAAATTGTGTGTGAGGCAGGGAAGGGGGAACTTGTGGGCCTACCCACTGCTGCCACATGGCCCCTGATGCACCACCCACTCTCACAGGTGAGCTTTGGGGCAAAAATGTGGCGTACCCCTGACCTAGGTGGTTTAATTCCCACAGGTCTTGCAATGTTCATGCCCACCTGGGCTGGCTACTGAATCCTCCTCAGCAAGAAGGCATGAAGGAGGGCTTCCTGTATCAGTTAAGCCTGGTCAAACAACACTGTCTTCCTGAAAACTGGTATATCGGTGTATCATTTAGCTTTCTGCTTGGTTCTGTCTATAGGCTTTCTCCTTGATTCTGCCTCCTGTCTTGCACAGTGGCTCCCCTCAGACTGCTCCTTAGGGCTCAGCCCACCAGCTTTGAGTTGAGACCACAAGTTCAGAACTTAGCCCTACATCACATTTAGTCTTGCATACCAGATAGTAAAATTTGGATTACTGTTGGCCCCAAGTGCCACACTGGTGCTATCACATCCTCACCTTTGTGTTATTTCTGTAGACTGGATGGCTGATATTGCAAGAGAGGCCCTTGACATCCTGACCTTGCAACATGCTGTCACACCTTACGATGATCTGTGGACTATTGGGCTGTGCAAAAAAAAAAAAAAGCCAAAGATGCAAATTCAGTTGTAAATTTCCTCTTGCAAATTTATGAATGGACCGAATTTTCAAGCATCCTGAGCTCCTTGGACAAGCAAGGACAGTTGCCCCGCCCCCTGCCCCCTGCCCCTGGACCCGATTCTCAAAACTTTCAGATTGCCCCTGTTCAGTCATTTACTCTGGTAGCAGAAAGTGGCATCTTGGCCTGCTGTTAGCCCAGTGAAGAAGCTCACAACACATGGTGTGGCAGCAAAGGTGAAACCCTGCCTTTTTGCAGATGAAATACATACCCTGATAACAGAAGATTTGCGAAAGGAGAGGCCAGGTATGTGAAGCACATGGAGAGTCACAAAATAGGCATCTTCTTGTTGGTTTTCTACCTCCAAGTTCACTTCCAGATAGCGTTGAGGAAAAATAACCAGTGTCTTGGACCTGATAAAGAGGGTGTTGGATGGACATCTTGAATAGCAGCACTTAGAGCAGTTCTGTAGAACTTCAGGTCCAGGTGCACCTGCACTCACTTCCCCTAGCCCTGTCCCCTTTCTTCCAATCACTGACCGATTGGTAGTTTCCAAGATTTTGTGCAGTGTTTTCCCCATTCTAAAAAAGGCTGAAATACCTCTCTGAGGGCTGGTTACTAAAAGTAAAAGCTTTAAGCTAAAATGTGCTGGCATTTTTAGTGTTTTGGTCTTGTCTCTTTTGCCATTGGCAATACCCACACTGGAATATGACCTTAGAAACTTATCCAAAATGAAATTTGGCCCACAGGCTAACAGAAGTTTCGCAGTCCAGCCTTAGGGCCTGAATTAGGGGGCATGACTGAGTACACTGGAAAGCCGAGATAGCATTCACATCTCACTTCAGCCAAGAACTCACCAAACAGCTTCAGCCCAGATTTTTCACAGGGCATATTTACGTTAGTGATTTAATGACAATTCTTTCCCTGCATCACTGGAACATTGAAAAATATAGTACTGTGTTATAAAAAGGATTAGGGATCTCCAAAAGAAAATTCTTAGCAGTCCCTTAAACAACAAATCTGAGGTTTTGCAGGAGACTGTTATTAAATAAGACTGTTACCTGGTATGCAATTCAATCTAAGCTACCACTGAAAAATAATAACCAAATGTGAAACAAAATTTACTCAACACTGGGTCTTAACTGGAATTTATCCCCAAATGTGGCTACCTGAGGTTTAAATTTCCCGATGGTATTCTCTAGAACTGCTTCTCTGTATGTACCCAGTCATGGTTTCCTTTGGCTCCTACAGTCATTAAATTTTTGTAGTGTGGATATTCCAAGCCACTACTCTCTCAGCCTCAGCCTATGCTCATATTATGAGAAAGCATAACACCTTGCAGGGCTGTTGTAAAGACTGCTATGAAAAAGTACTGTGAACACTTGAGATACACTGTATGCATGCTAAGGAGTCTTATTATTTAAAAAATGTCCTGTCCTCCAACTGTTGCAGCTCCCTCAACACAACTGCACTGGGAGAAGGCTGCCCTGCTGCATTTCATTTGTGCTCATAGTGTGCCATCTGCAGAAACTGCTTACATCATAGATGGTCCACATACCCAGAATCATGGAACGATATTTTCATGTCAGCCTCACATATATCATCTGACCCACAGTTCTTCTGAAAAGGAATCTAAAAATGTCCAGTAAGAGAATCAGAGTAGTTAATATGCATCATGTATTTGCCCTCCCACCCCCTGAGATCGGCAGCAGAGGCCCTCCTCCGGGAACCCTCCGGGAAAGACATTAGGAGGCTAAATAACCGGAGGAGGGCTTTCTCTGCGGTGGCGCCCCACCTATGGAATGTGCTCCCCAGAGGGGTCCACCTGGTACCGTCGTTATTTGTTTTTTGGCACCAGGCTAAGACCTTTTTATTTAAACAATATTTTAACAACTTTTAATATCATCTATAGGATTTAATTTGCAGCCACGGTGAATCTGGATTTTATTTGCACTATTTGTATTATGTTTATTTATTTTATGTAAGCCGTCCCGAGGCTCAGGCGATGGGACGGCATACAAAAATTCTAAATAATAAATAAATAAATGTGACCAACATTCTACCTTTCCCCTGTCCAAAATTGCTTGACTCAACCCTTTTTCAAATTCCTTCCTTGCTTGCTCAAAATTACAACCCTTCCCCTCCCAGAAAGTTATTTTCTATCTAGTCCTTGAAAATTGAGCTAGGTCCTCCTAGCTCCCACCTCTCACCTCAGCCACTGTCCTGTTCTTTAGGGAGTTCAGAACAGGCTTGGGGTGCCCCTTGGTAGGTTCGTTGTCATCCACAAAGGAGTAGTCCACCATGACCTTGATAGGTGAGAGGTAATCCTCAATGCAATTCTACAAGGAAATGGAGACAGCTGCCATATAACTCCACTTCTCACTTATGAATATAAGCTGGACCTTTCCTAAGAAAGGGGCCATGCATATGGGGCCGACTGTACTCTAGAAGAAACTACACTTTTAAAAACACCCAAGGCATGTCCATATAAGAACTACAGAGGAACTGTTATGGATCAGAGAAAAGGACTATCTAACCCAGATTCTGCTTGCAGAGTGGCCAAGCAGATAACCCAATAGTAAACCCACAAAAGCAAGACATGAGAGCAATAGCACACTCCCACCCAAGCTGCCTGGCTTACTGCCTCTGATACAGGTGGTGATATATAGTCACCATGGCTAGTAGCCATTGATAGCCTTGTCCTCATGAACTTGCCTAATCCACCTTTAAAGCCATCCAGATTAGTACCCTTCATTACATCTTGTGGAAGCAAATTCCATGCTTGGTTTAACTATGCACAGCATGTCAAGAGGTACTTCCTTTAATCTGCCCTGAAATTCCTACCATCCATTTCATGACCCTGGCTTCTGGTACTATGAGAAAGGCCACTGAGCCACTTTCTCTGTACCCTGCATCGTTTTATGTGAGCAGCTGCCACATTCCACCCAGAATGTAGATGCATAAAATGAAAATAAGCCTGTATTTACCGTGATGTTAATAATTTCTGGTATGCACAGTTGTCCTAGTGTGATGCTATGGACTCCATCTGTGACCTTCTTGCCATTACTAAATATGCCTCGGTTCTTTACCCTGTTTCCATCAATCTCCAAATGGAAGAGGAGGCTAGCAGAGAGAGGTCCTGGAGAGTAGGAGGGAAAGAGGCTGATGGCAGCAAGGAGTTAACATTCTTGATTTAAGGGGACTGGTGGGGTAGTAAGAGCAGTTTGGAATCTAATTAGAAGAGAAACTTGTGATTAAGCTTGCCATCTTCTAAATATCAGACATCTTGTGCCTTTAACAGCAGAAAAATAAACAGAATTCCAAAAGACAATCCCTTTTCCAGCGTAGGCATATGGTGATGATGAGATGAGCTACTGCTGTACATTTCTGCTTATAAATCAGTACAGAATCTCTGTAAACATGAACATTCAAGAAAAAAGTACACACATAGATCAGCTCTGGGTCACTTCCGTGCTCCAAGCCCTCAGTGCCACTGAGATGCATTGTTTCCCTGCAATCAGCTGGAAGCAGAATGAATACAATGGTGGGTTCACACAGCACTTAATATAATGCTATTTTAAGCCAGGCTCTTCTACAAACTTGAATCAGAAGTATGTTGCATTCAGAAAAGGTCCATTGCCATGTCAGTTAGTAGCCTCCTTGCAGTCACTTTTGTTTTCTGTTTGGTAAAATGGCAGCATTCCTGATGGATGGACTCTTTCTTGGCCTTTGGAAGTTCACTTTCAGCTTTGATTACTGTTCTTCTATCATAATGTCCTCTTTTTCTTTCTCTCATAACAAAACAGTGGTTTTCCTCTGTGTGTCTGTGTGTGTGCACACACATGTGTAAATCAAGTTGTATCAGTAGTTAAAGCCCTCCTCACACAAGAATGGGCACTGTAATTAAGAGGACTTTTTTTTACAAGGTGTTAATTGGTTGTATCTACTTTTGCTTTTATTACAGAATTGGGATTTGAGCATTACATGAAGAATGTTTCCTGCTTTTCTGCTATATAAACTCCAATTGGCACTGTGCTACAGCAGAGTAGTGCAAATACACAAGTGAAAAGTGTTTCTTTTCAGTTTTACATTTAAATACCAAATTTTCCTTGCTCAGAAAAAGCAAGACAAGACAAGACAAGACAACCTCTTTAGACCCTGAAGCAAAACTGGAAGGTCACCTCATTGTCTAAAGAACCTGTAAATAAATCTGTGTAGGGAATGATCATGAATGCCTCCTGTAGAAAAGCCCTGTTAATTACCAGAATGCTGCTGAGGTTAAAACCAAGCAATAAAAATGGCAAAATCAGTAAGGAAGAACCTTTTAATTAAAAATACAGTACTCTGAAAAGGCTCAGTAGCATTTGCCAGCCCAGCCCACACTGAGTAAACTGGCATTGCAATCTCATTTTAAGTGCAAAGAAAAATTGCCACCAACCAGGTCTGAAAAAAAGGGGAATCTCCCAGAAAATATTGGAATCTGATGGACTGGCAATGACATAGTCTGGATTCTCCATAAAATAATAGTCATTATAGGGATTCATGTGAAAGTAACCCATGTGGAAAAACAAACCCCTTGCCTTGCCCCATTTCAATCTCTGCTACAAGTGTAGATGCTGAATTCTTTCCTGATTTGTAGGATTAGGGTTAAAGAGCACTTCCATTCCCCTCTGCAACTCTTACCTTTGTAGCTTTTGGTGTCCAAACTGGTGTTAAAACAAATGTTGAGGTTGAGCACTTTATTCTGCCAGACCTGGGCATCCCCAAAACACTCTACATCTGCCACTCGGATTTGAACAGGTTGAAAAGACACTTGTGCAGCCACAGTAACAATGGGTCTGGAGCTGCAAGTACAAGAAAAGACAGATTATATCTTCTATACCCTACAAATCTCCCATCATGTTTAGTAGCTATTTTATTAACAACAGATATTCAACCCCTGAGAAGTCCAAGAGCTACATGTGTCCCTTGAAATGTACTGGATTACACTCCTATCATTCTAAGCTGGCATGTAGCTAGAAATGGTGGGACTTGCAGTCCAGTCCAACACATCTGGAAGCCATGAGTTTGGGAAAGCCCTTATGTCCCTATCTAAATTCATACTTCATTCACTGTTCATTCACAAATATACCCAGCTTTATTTCCCAGACCTCTAGGGCCCCAGGGCCCCAACAGCCCCATCTGGGAGAACCCAAGACACTTGTTTCTTAGTTAGTCACTCACCGGACTACCATAACCTCGCCCGAAGCTCCCACTGTGATGTCTATGAGCCCATCTTCATCAAGGTCTGTCTTTCCATGGATAGACCTTCCAAAGAATTTCAAACTGGGAGAAATGTCCTCTCCTTTAATCCTCTGTTGGAGAGAAATAATGACAGGGCAGCAATGCAGCCAGTTGATTCAGGACAGAAAATAGAACACACTTTTTAACACAACGCATTACTGATTGTGGTGTTGGCAACTTGCTGGACCTTTCATCTGATCCAGCAGATCTTCCACTTCTGTCTATACATGATCACTACCACAATGGAGCTTCCAAACAGAACAGGGTTTTAAGCTTCATTGTACTGTGGATTTAGTGTGGTTCATGCTTGCAGTTTTATCACCATGATATATCCTAATAATTTATTCTTTGCTTTGTAAGCTGCCCAGATAACATATGTTGAGAAGGAAAGAAAGATCTCTGTCAAAAGTGGAAGGAAACATCACCACACTCCTTAGCTCCTGCCTTTGTGCTTTACCTGGGATATGGATCCTGGCTAAAGTCTCTATTGCAGCCTTCTTCAACTTGGTGCCCTCCAGATCTTTTCAGTCCCATAGTCAAGAATGTTGGGAATTGTAATCCAAAACATCTGGAAGGTACTAGGTTGGGGAAGCTCACTTTTGACAGAGTCACCGATCCATTAAATTGGAGAAGGCCTTATAGGCCAGCCAATCCATGCAGGGAACCCAGAGCTAGAGGGGTCCTCCCTAGACAAACAGTTTAATGAACAGAGAGGATAAGGCCTGATGGATAGGTTTCTTAGGCTCACAGGAGACTTAAATAATTATGCTCATTTCCTGTATCAAGCTGGCTATTTTCTGGGGGAACACAAGCATGGAAATCACCTCTGCAGATCCATTCAGTTACCTGGCTATAGGACATCTGCAGACCTTTCTTGTAGCCGTTATAGATGTAGATGGCTCCCTTCTCCTCCTCTTCCAAGGGAGCTCCCACAGCCACATCTGTCCAACCATCCCCATTGATATCTGCCAAGTCTGTGATGGCAGCTCCAAACCTGCCCAAAGGGTATCCTGAGACCCCATGAAGCTTCCCCTGAAGAATGAGATTATCCTGAGAGAGAGAGAGAGAGAGAGAGAGAGAGAGAGAGAGAGAGAGAGAGAGGTGTGCCATTCAGAATCTGCCATGCACTCCAGGAACCCCATGAGTGCACAGAAGGTGCCCAGTGTGCTTACCTGCACCCAGCCATACACATACACACAGCCTCCTTCTGTCTCAGTAAATTGCATCTGGGCCCCAACGAGGAGTAGATCTGTCTCCTGATTGTTGTCCACATCCACGACACACAGCACAGCCCCAAAATAGGACCCAGTCTGCAAAAACAAATATAAAAATGCCCAGGATGAAAATGGGGATGGGATAGGAGATGCAAACAGGGATACATGGTTTAGCATTTGCATTGTGCACAGATGGGGAAGGTGTGGCCCTCCAGACATTTCCCTACACAGGGAGGGAGACACTGAATGGGTCTACTGGGCCCACCATTATCATCATTTTGCTCATTCCAGCCCAAACAGTGGACATCCCAATTGATCAGAGTATCCAGACAGTTCCCTGCAGTCCCCATTTTCTTCACCTGCTGTCCTTCAAACTCCTGCTTTAAAGTCCAGTTGGTAGTGCTGGCATTAACCTCAAATACAAGGACCCTTCCCACATGTTGGTATCGGGGGGCACCAACAGCATAGAACTCTCTCGATTGACGCTGCAGGAGTTTCAATGCATACCCTGCAAACAAAAAGAACACAAAATATAATTAGCTGGAAATACTAGAAAAGAAGAATGTATAGATTGAAAACAATTTCGCACAAAAAATATACCCTTTAAAAATTTTCCAACAGGGAAGACCAGAAACTTGCTAAGAACCCACACATTAACAGTTGCAAAGATTTGCCAGAGAAAACACAGCCATCTGCCTCAGTTCCAAGCTGCCCAGGTTTACTTTCAAAATATAGGAGTGCCAAGAAGAACAAAGCTTTTCTCCAATAAAAGGGTCTGATAAGTATCTCTGAGCATGTGCTGTGCTCAGGAAAAATACTTCTATTTTAAAAATGAGCCTGCAGACAAGGACTTTGGGCCTGTGAAGAGTTCCTTTCCTCTTCTGAGAGGAAGCAACTTTTGAAAGTTACAGCTGAAATGAAAAATGCCTGAGAATATATTTGACCCAATGGATCAGATTTATTTGACCAAACTTCAGTTATACCATTTTGCTTTTTAAAGTTCCAGATCACATCCTGAGGACAAGGGTGTGTTTACAATCACTTGCCTAAAGGCATTAACTTTTTAGTATATTACAGGAAAGACTAGATTCAGAGCCTCTAGCTTGACTTGCTGCTGAATGTGATTGGTGAGTATTTGCACAAAGTTTGATTCATGTTTATCCTTTACAAACCAAGACTGTAAAGCAGGGTTTATTCTTGGCTTATGGATCTAGGCTTGTTTGGGACCATCATATTGTAGATTCTGTCTTTTTCCCATAATCCTGGCTTATTGTTCTATGTAATCACAGCGATTACGAATGCAAGAAGGTTTCTGCTGGATCTGGCCAAATATCCCTCTAAGTCTGGAAGCTTAGAACCATCATAGTTAATAGCCATGGATTCCACAGAAGGTTGGCTCCCTGTGGTAAGAGAGGGAAATGACCATCTTAGAGGAGAACAAGCTAGTTATCAATTACCATTTTCCTCCAGCTGAGGCCCAGAGAGCTTATGGCTAACCTTACCTTGTTTCCTAAACACTGAACAATTTAGCATTGCCCCCGCCCCCGCATTTCCCTTAGTTAGTGCTGTTAGTCAAAATTAACCCTTAAGCATGTGTGACAGTCTGACTCATTTTAGGCCTAAGCACTTATTTTTTCTGTCACTGTTGTAAGTTGCAATTGATTATATGAGTAATCTTTAAAATATTGGAAACAAGGGGAATGTGACAGAAGGATAAAGGTCAAATTGAATGGCAACCCTATGCAGGTATGACTCCCCATATGAAATATGGCTGTACACTGCCCAGTTCAGTAAGAAAAGCCTCCTACAGAGCTGAAAGAAAGAGACCAGCTAATTATGCTGATGGTGCAGAGACACAGAGGGTTGCAGGTCATGTCCCTACTCACCCAAATAGGCCCCAGCCATCTCCTTCCTGAACAATGGGGTGGTGATAAATCTTTCACTGGTGAAATCTTTCTGCTGCTCTAGCAGGCCCCCTGCCCAGTTGTCAGCCCCCACAGCCCCCAGGACTGTCCGGCCCTGCAGTAGAGAAAAAGGAAGAGGCTTAAAAATGCATGAGGATCCCTTGGCGGCAGAAGTAGCAACCCTAGACCATGTCTGCCTGGTGGGAGTAAATAACTCTGACCCCAGCAGGGCTTGTTCCAAACAGGCATGTTTAGAATCACATTATGTGAGACTTGTCCTTCCACAACACACCTGTGGGTTCAGCCCCATCTGAGATATATCTGCACTGAATCCACTGGATGACATCTCCAGGTGGAAGATGCTGCTGTCGCTCCTGTCACCTGCAAGCAATGGACACTGATCAGAGGATGGGATATATATATATATATTAGATAAATTGATGCTTCCCTCTCATTCCAGAAGCTGGGTCTTGGCACCAGGTGACCAATGAAGCTAGTGCTGGAAAAATCAGTATCAGTTAGTGTTCTGCCAAAAGTTAACTGAGCAATGCTCCTGGAGAACATCGCTATCACAATACACAGATGTGGACTGTATCCTGGGGTATGTTCAGAAACATCACCTCACTGTTGAGTTACCCCAGGCAACAGGACATCCCTAAATAAACCCACCACTTTACCAAGGCTACTGTTTTTTGAATTCTACGCAGGATACTGTGTGATCTAAAAACAAGGATTTTCTTTCTGATTTTCTACATGTTCTGTTACATAACCGCAATGTGGTACTGTGATATAGCAGAATTACAAAAATACATAAACTTCTCATTCTCCATATAATGCTACATTTTCCTTGATCTAAGAAAAAAGGCATGGGAATGCTTGGAACGCACAGGAAAGGCTCTGGAGGGTGATAACATCATGTAAAGCACCAGCAAACTACAGTGAATGGGGAATCACAAGCACCCAATATATACTTCATATAGAGAAGCTCTTAATCGCTGACACTGGGTGATGATTAGAAGATTCCACCTGTCTGCCAATTTTGCATTGTGGTTGACAGCACCACTTGAATAGAAACTTCAGGCATGCTTTGCAATGTGTGTCTTATGCTGGCAGGCTGTACCATAAAAGGTAGCCTCACCAAAGTTCCAAACTGGCCAGTTGTTTGCCAGGAAGCTTTGAACAAATGTTAAGGATTCTATGTCACCAGCAATAGCCATTCCAACAAGCCGTACTGAAGGAGACGAGAGGGAAAGCAGGGCCCTTCCACCAACTCTAATACAAGAATTATTTTTCCCACTTCCTTCCCCCTCCCTTTTCCTTGTGTGTCATTTCTTTTTAGATTATAATCCTGCACACAGGGACTGTCTTGTTTAATTGATTATATATCTCCCTGGGAGACTTTTTGGCCAAGGAGTGGCATAAAAATGAATCAAATAAATGAATTTCAAAAGCAGAAGTCTGTACCATCGCCTCCTCCTTCAAGGGTATAGATCTTTGACTGGAGATCACTGAAGCTGTCTCTGAGCTCTTCAAAACTAGCAAGGACCTTCAGATATTGATTTGTGGGTTCTGAAGCAAGTATTCGAAGCGTTTTTTGTGACTCTTCAGTTTTAAATCGATGCCCTATCTGCAGAGACAAGGATGAACCAAATGAAACAAAGATAGGAGATTGGGATTTCCATAATCCACAATAGGGAGAGAGTCAAGGGAGCCAGAAATATCCAGCAAAAGGAGGACAGGGGAAAGAATAGAAATGAAGAACTAGGTAGCCCAATCTTTTATTACATATGCCCCATTTCACAGAGACAGATGTTCATGGGCTGCACATATGGTTTTTGTAATCTTTGGTTGATTTATAGATTAAAACCCCACACGGGATTGTTCTGTGTTACTGGACAGCACAATGCCTCTTCAGACAGTGCCCAGTAGTTGCCTTTTTTGGAAGGAGGTCATTATTAAGATAAACTACTCCATTATTTACTGACGCATGTTTCCTCTTAAAGTCACTACCTGCTTCCTGGAAGTTAAAACACAGCAGTGGAAATGGATTTTCTGCACCCTTTTGACACCTAAAATACTGATATTATGAATGAATGCTTATGCTCTATAATGCAATGTATTGAGGACTTAGTGCTTTCAAGGCCTGAGAAGGTAGTACAAGTTAATATTTATATGGATAATTTATCTCTTTTTGTTGAAGCTTCTGTATAAATTTTTAGAAGCCATCTTTTCATACACATGCATTTCATATCCATGCATTGAAATGGATAGATTCAAATTTATGTAGCTGCAATATTTTCCTTTTTTGGTTTGTTGAAATTTTACAATTAAAATTATTATATACGAACTGGCAGTTTTTAAATTAAAAATGCACAAGAGATTCTATTCATAGATTTTGCATCACATTGGTTAGAACCTTAAGGCACTGGTTGTGCAGTGGGTCAGCCTCACCAGCGTATCACCCTGAGGGCCTAACTTTCCCACTGCCTTCCCGCATGCTTCTTGTGGCGTTACCCTGGCTCATTTTCTCTTTACAATCATGAGTATCCTTAACTGTAAAGACTAGGAGCCTGATTTTGGAGACAACAATGCACTGACTTAGAAAATCAGGATCTGGTAACATATAATGTTTATTATATTTTGGACAACTGAATTACTGCCTTTAGGTCCAAAAGAAACGAGTAGACAGAAATCCAAGATACTTTACCCCAATGATGAGGCGTAAGATCCCTTTTGCCTTGGCAGCTTCTACGTTCCCATTGTTTCCATCAGAGGCTTCTCCATCTGTGATGATGATGATTACTTTGTTTGCTCCTTTTCTCATGCCACGCTCAGGAATGAAAACATTATTCCTGCCAACAGCAAATGAGGAAGTGATTAACTATTGCACTATATATAGTTAGTGCACAGGGGACTATACATGCATATATGCTGTAGGCTAACAGCAAATTTGTTATGTGACTGTGGGTTTTAGATAGCCAAAGTGGCACCATCCATCCACAAGAGAGATGTTTCAATGGACTCTGGATAACTCTGAGGCTTGGCTAAAGTTCTTTTTTTCCAAAGGGCCATCTATCTGTGGTAAGGCACATATTTTGCAAGTGGAAAGCCCTCACATCAGTCTTCAAAATGATCTTGATTAGCAGAGCTAGGAAACACAGTTGTCTGAAACTCTGCAGAACTGTTCCTTGTCAAAGATAATTCACATAAATGCAAATAAAATATGATGTCTTCAAGGTGTTGTTGATTGTGGACTTTTAGTCCACCTTCTTCCTTTAATTGCCTTTCTTTGGTTGCCCCCTCCCATCTGTGGACCTGGTCCCCTTGAGAAGAAAATAAGTAAGAGGCAAAGTATCTATATTAGCATTACAGAGGAAGTGGCAGCCCATCAATTAAAAGCACTACCCCAACTATTCCTTGGCAGGATTCTGAGAGCTCATCCTAAACCAACCTTTCCCAGCATGGTACCTGCTAGATAATTTGGAGCACAACTCCGTTTTACACTAACCATTGGTCATAGAGGCTGGAGCTGATCAAAATAGTTGTCCAAAAATCTTAGGAAGGAGTCTGCCAGAAGGAGAGGCTTTTGTTTTGAAAATTTTAGCTTATAGCAGCTTTCCTCAACTTTGCATCCTCTGGATGTTTTGGACTACAGATCCCATCAACCCCAGCCAATGGTTGAGGTGATGGAGACTGAATTGCAAAACAGACTACACCCCTCACCCACTATTTATCACCCAATGAACCCAATGAACCACCACCAATTGAACAAGTTACTCACACTACATATTCAACAGCTTTGAAGGTGTTTGTAATGCTTTTTTCGTGTACCACCTGGGCCAAGAGCATATCAGGATCAGGATTCTTGATGTAGTCATTAAAATCAAATTCGAGTTTGACATCATATGAGAACTGCACAGCAGCAAACTGGAAGAGTTGGGAGGGAGAAGAGAAGCAGTGTTAAAGCCATTGTTGCCAACTTGCTCTACAAAACAATGTTCAGCTTCTTGCACAGGCTGGGGAATAAAGGATCTTGGAAGAAAGTCTAAGAAGGGAGAAGACAAAGTCCACATATATGTTTGGCAAAAGCATATGGTACAGCCTGGCTAATACTGCATCACTTTATAGAGCAGGTGTTTGAATTGGCACATGTTGAATATTTCCTTAGGCTATAATCATCCGACCCCTCCATCTACAAACTAAGCATGTAAGAAGGAAGTTTCTACCATAGCCCCTCTATAGTATGCTAGTTTTCTGCAAATGGAGAGCTGTTTGTTAAATGTAGAGCACGTAAAACTGTAACTCCCCTCTCCGCCAACAGTCTGAAATGGTCTGGTCCTAGAATAAAACTATCTTATCATGCAATTTTGCTGAATGTGTGGAGTAAAGCAATGCAGGGCAGATTGTGGCAATCCAAGATGTTGTCGGATGGCAACTCCATCCATCCTTTTCATTGGCTATGCAGGCTAGGGCAGATGGGAGAGGTATTCCACCAATATCTGGAGGAGCACACATTGCTAACCCTGGCTTGGGGCCTCTCATAGCCATGGTGCCTGATAGATCCCATTTGCTTGTTGAGCTAAGATATTCAGCCAGGATAGTCTATCAGTTTACTATTGAAGAATAAGCAGTGTACACACCTCTGCTTCTGGCAATAAACAGCTGGCAGAAAGAAAGGAATAAGAGTAATTACTACTGCAACTCTCCAGTATCTATCAGACTACAGAGACAGCACACTCCCAGCCACCACGGCACTCTACTGTAAGAAGTGATCGTGCAGCTGAACTATGCTGTTAAAGAGCAGGGATGGACAAGAGGTTCTGCTGTGCTGGTCACAAATGAGTATGTGAGTGTATAAAATAAACACTGCTGGAAAAGAATTCCAGGTCAAATATTTGCAGTTGAAGGACATGGGCCCTCAGTAAAATAGCCCTCCTTTCCAGGTTTGCTTCTACAATATGGCTCTTTTTCCTGGAATCGCCATCCTTTGTTTACTATTTCTAATTGAACACTCAGATTCATTCACTATCAAATTCTTGCATTCCTGTGTTTTTATGTTATCCTGTTTTTTGCAACATAATTTTGCTGATTAAAAGAAATAAACATAATTCTAGCACAAACCAGTCCAGTGTGGACAGCTGAAGCATTTCAGGGTACTTGTGCCTTTAATTAAAAGCTTCCTGTTAGCAGGCTATCCTGTTCTGTTACTTTCTTATAATTATCTCTTAGAAATTAGTGATGAATAGCCTATTGATTGTCCCTCAGAGAGCCTTGTTTCTTTAATCAGCCTTCATAAGTTTTGCTCTCACAGGAAAGGGGAGAATAATAAATTCCTCATGCAATTATTCTTTCTGCTTTTGTCAATTGACTGAATAGCAATATTTTTTCTTTATTAAAATTATAGGAACCCTCCAAAACATACATAAATTAACACTAATGGGCAATTAATCAAGTTATTCAAGGGGAAATTCACAGGTTACTCTTCAAATAGCTTGTCACCACACTCAGGAAGAAGCAGTAACAGTTACAGAGCCAGAAAACAGGAACCTTTAATTAACATTACATGGGAAACTTGCTAAATGGTTCTTATAACTGATTAAACATTATAGAAGAATCTTGGGGTGATTTTAGACAAGCAACTTGTACTGCTCCTGAATCAATGCTCTTCTGCTATAAATTGCAAGCTGAAATTAAAGTGATTCTCTACACTAGCATAAGTACTATGCTTATATCTATCTATATATCCCACTATATTCCATCCACACCAGAGGATATGATGTAGCAGCAGTTGGTGGGAAAGGGAAAGATCAAATTCATCTGAACATCCACATAATAGTCACTGTGTTGGACTGGAACCTGGGAGATCCAGGTGTTTTCATATAGGGATTCTTCTGCATCATCAGCCTGCCTCATCCATAGAATTTGATGGGCCAGTGATATCACCGTCCACTCATAATATTCCCATTTTTCCACTCACATCTATTTTCTTACTGCAGGATATCCATTAAAGAAGAAAAGATGGAATAGCTTCAGAATGCCTTGTGACTAAGAATGGGCATCTGAGAAGGGAGAATGGGCATCTGAGAACGTACTCCAGAAGGTCAGATTGAGACCCCATCCTGCAGTTGTCCACCCTTGTTTTAAAGTGTAGAAACCAGCCTGGTCCCTCAGGGACTCTGACAGTGACCCTCGTGCCTCTCCCACTCCCCCCACCCCAGTATCCAGCAAGTATATCTTACATGTATGCTGCTGTTGCGTAGTTTCTTCATTACATCAATCATGAAATTCTTAATAGAATTGAATTCATGATCCTTCAAGCTTTCTGACCCATCAAAGAGAAATACCAGATCCACGTTCCCTTTCAGGCACTCTGTGGGTAGATGATAGCCAAGATGAATATAAAAGCAGAGAAGTGAGAGTCAGGGCCCCTGGGCTGAGTTAGTGGGGGGGGGGGGAACCAATGAAGATTCCTTGTGGCAGATCCAGGCATTTATCCAACCAAATCAGGAATGCTGTTTCATACATCTCAGACTTTTCCTAACAATCCACACAGTCCCCGTTAAGGTCAAATGTTGATATTTCACTGTTTAGCTCATACTTTCTCAACCTGGTACTTCACTGTAGGCCAGATTGTTGGTCTATAATGCTCAACACCCCAGCCAGCATGACCTTTGGCTGTACTATATAGGGAAAATGGACACTGTAGTCCAATAAACCAGGAAGAAACCCAGTTAGAGAAGGGTGGTTTAACTGATCTGACGTCTTATAAGGAGTTCTGCAGAAATATTGCCTAAGAAATTATGTTCAGATTTAGAGGTTCTTTATTTTCTAAAAATGGAATGAAGGGTTGCACATTTTTTCCTACCCCAGAAAAATGCTTCACAATAAACATACTAGTTCACCTTGAAATTTCTCAGTAAAGGTTTTATATGCTGTGGCTGACCATGACATTTCTCAGAACAAACTTCATAAACTGTGCTGCCTTCCCTGTCACACTTGCGAGGTTTTGAGACCTTCACCTCTATTGGCAAGGAAGAAATCAGCTCTTGCTCTCTGTGCCTTGAATGCCATCTCCAACCTTCCTGACCTGCTCCTACCCCTTCAATAGCAGCTTGATATGACAAAATCAGAAGAAATATGGAGAAGTTTCAGATCACATGAAGGTAAACATAATCTCTGCCTTCCCAGAGGCATCTGATGAGACAACTGCAAGGGCTGATACAAAAATGAGCAACTAGGGACTGGGAACTGGCAATTTTTGACCTTGCCTAAATTTTCCAAAAGTCATTTGACATTTGTTTCAGCTTACTCCTGTTTTTGATTTGTTATTTGACTAATTCAAATATACAAAGAACACATTTAGCACAGGAAAAGTGTGTATTTATATGTGTATTTTTCATAAGTGTACATTTCTCCCCATTGTTAATACACACAATTGCATTTTGGAAAATGTGCGTTTCAAAGTACAGTTTAAAAAAACCATTTTGCAAAATTTATTGAAAAAGTTCTCCTTATTGCATGCAACTTTGAAAACAGAAAATACTTTCTCTTACAGCATTATTAGCAACCCTACTCATGTTGCAGGATGCTACGGTGAGCATAGTTAATCTAGAGCAGTGATTGTGAACCTTTTGGAGACTGAGTGCCCAAATTACAACCCAAAACTCACCTATTTATCACAAAAGTGCCAACACTACAATAAAACCTGAAAATGGAGATTTTAGTTTAGAAAAAACAACACATAGCTAGATTATCTATCTCCTTGGCAGTGCACTGACCAGCCATGTTAAAGCTTGAACGAGACGCAGGTAATGAGTCGTGTGTTTTGACATCATTGCCAGGCGCCTCTACTCTTTTCAAGCATGCGCATGGCCCCTATGCGCGCTGCTGTCCAATGTTCGGCTACTGGGGCACTGCTGGGGTGACTTGGCCTGACAGTGAGGACTCTGCGTGCCCGCTGTGGCATGCATGCCATAGGTTTACCACCACTGCCCTAACCCTACCCTGGTGCACTCCCCTAATCCTAACACAGGGCTAACGCTCCATTGAAAATAATGTGATTTTGAAAAAGCCTTCCTTGACTAGCTTTTTCTGCACAGCTTATCATTTCTGCCCATTCAAAGCACATCTCAATCATCAGAATCATGCCAGGACACCTCATTTTTCTAACTCCAACTCAGTGATGGCGAACCTTTTAGAGACAAAGTGCTCAAACTGCAACACCAAACCCACTTATTTATTGCAAAGTGCCAACACTGCAATAAAACCTGAAAACAGCCAGTCCAAGCAAATATATATATATATATATATATATATATATATATATATATATATTCTTGGCTGTGCACTGACTGGCCATGTGAAAGCTCGGATGAGTCGCAGCTAATGGGTCGTGGCTATGATGTCATTGACTGCCGTCTCTACTCCTTTCTGAGCATGTGCATGGCCCCTATGCACGCTGTTATCTGATGCTCGGCTGCTGCAGCGATGCTTGGGCGACTTGGCTCACATGCCAACAGAGAGGGCTCTGCATGCCCGCTTTGCTACGCGTGCCATAGTTTCGCCATCGCTGATCTAGAGCAAGGCAACTTCCTGTGCCTCATATAATTACACACACCAGGACATCTCAGCAAGCGGTATTAGAGACTCAAGTCAAGTGACTTGCTCCCAAGTCAGCCACAAGTCACATCAGTAAGTTAGTTAGTTAGTTAGTTAGTTAGTTAGTTAGTTAGTTAGTTAGTTAGTTAATTTTATTTATTTATTTATTTATTTATTTATTTATTTATTTATGAATGAATGAATGAATGAATGAATGAATGAATGAATGAGACTTCTATGCCGCCCCATTCACCGAAGCCTCTCTCACCAAAGTTAACTCAGACTCGACGCTGGAGCAAAGAGCAGGTAACTCAACTCAAAATTTCTACATTTTTTACCACCGAGTTGCTTACTGTGCAGCAGGATATCCTGGAAGGCAGGCATGAGCACAGCAGAGGCAGCGGAAGGGAAGGAGTTTCAAGGGGGCAGGGGCTGGATAGGGAGGAAGGGGTTGCAATGTGGGGAGGCAAGCCTTCAGCTCTTCTTTTTGGTATGAGGGAGGTGCTGGGAGGGAGGAACAAGAGGATGGGGGCAGGGGGTGGGGTTGAGATATAGGAGGAAGGCTTCAGCTCTTTTTGGTGCTGCACTTTGCTCTCTTTGGCAGGAAGTGCAACAGCCTGAATTTTGGGGTTATTGATTAGGGATTGTTCAGGGCAGACTCTAGGACACTGGGATCAGCTTTATTTAAATAAATTGTGGTTAAAGAACTTCAATGCATCACAGAGAAGTGCATATGGGAACATTAGGGGTTTACAACTCTCCTACCCCACACACACTACCCAGCACCACCTCCTTTTTTATGGCAATGACTTGCTGGCTCAGGGGTAACACCAGTTACCTGTTGCACTCCATGAGCACTTGGTTGCCTGCACAAATACAAATCAGCCTCTGTATCACTATGTACCAGGGATTCTAACTTTCCAATTTAGACCCCAAAATTGGAATGGCTAAACAACTAGGAATCAGTTGATGTGCTGCAAAATCACCAAGATTTCAATCAGTAGATTTCAGTCTATCTTCTACCTACCCCTGTCCAAATGTCAAAGCATACTTACTTTGGTACCCAGTTGTTATATTCTTGAGTTCATTCATTTTGTCATCAAACAGAAAGCATTTCCCACTCATATATAGATTTTTGTCACAAAGCTGTTCATGTCCTGACCCACATGCCTATAAGAGAAGATAGTTCAAGTTAACAGTAACAACAACACAACAACAACAACAGTGGGGACAAATAATTTTCTGGAACAAGGTAGGTTATCAGCCAAATGAATGGAAAAGGGAATTCAATTACAAACAGTTTCAAGAAGAAACAAAGGTAGAAGAGTAAAAGCCAATGTGGCTTCACAAAAAGCTTAGAGATGACCTGAAACAAAAAAGGACATGTATAGGAAATGGAAGGAAGGCCAGGCTATAAAGGAAGAGTTCAGGGAGGTTGCATGGAATTGCAGGCACTGTGTCTGGAAAGCTAAAGCTGAGAATGGGCTGAAGTTAGTGAGGAATGCTACAAACAACAAAAAAGACTTCAGATACAGGGATAGTTAATAAATGGTAATTCAACTACTCATGGAGGATGACAAACTGATAACACATGATAAAGAAAAGGCAGAAGTGTTCAGTTCCTATTTTGGTTCATTCTTCTCCCAGAAAAGGGTCTATGATCTCCCTGGCAAAGCTGAAATACAATCTGAAGGGAGAGGATGACAACTTGATGGGCAAATTGTCAAGGAACACCTATTATTTTCAGTGAGTTCAAATCTCCAGGGTGCATTGAACTGCAACCTAGAGTAGTAAAGGGACTGGCAGAAGAAATCTCAGAGCCACTGTCTATTATCTTTAAGAAATCCAGGAGAATGAGTTAAGTGCCAGATGGCTAGAGAAGAGTTAATGCTGTCCCTATCTTCAAAAAGGGAAAAAAGAGGACCCTGGGAATTAGAATAATCTCTGGAAAATTCTTCAGCAGATTATAAAACAGTCTATTCAGCAAATACATTGAAAACAATGTGGCAATTATAGGAAGTCAACATTAATTTGTCAAGAACAAATCCTGCCAGACTAATCTGATCTCATTTTTGATAAGGTAACCTCCTTAGTGATCTGTCAGAATGCTGTTGACTTCAGCAAAGCTTTTGACAAATGCTTTTGTCCCATGATATCCTGGTTAGCGGACTAACTAAAATTGGTTTAGATGGAACTATCAAGAGGACCTACAGTTGGCTGCAGAATCAATGGCAGCTTCTCAAACTTGGAAGAGGTAATTAGCAGGATACTGCAGGGTTCATTTCATGATGCAGTGCTTGTCAATATTTAATAGATTATTTAAATGAGAAGATACAGGGAATGCATATTAGATTTGCAGATGACACAAAATTGGGTGGGACAGCTAATATCCTGAAAGACAGAAATAATATTCAAAGCTGATCTTGATAGGTAGGTAAGAGTGCTGGACTAAAAACAACAGGATTAAACTCAGTAGGGACAAATGCCAAGTTCTACATCTGCAAAAAAGAACTCAAACACATAGTTACAATATGAGGGATATTGGCTCAACCACACCACAAGTGATAAAGATATTAGAACTGCTTTAAATATCAAACTGAATATGAGTCAGCAATGTGATGCAGCTACAAAAAAAGCAAATGCTATTTTGGGCATCAGTCACAGAAACATCATTCCCAAAGCACATGAAGCACTATTTCCATCTACTCAGAACTGGTTAGGCCTCATAATGAATACTTTGCCTAGTTCTGAGTGCTGCAGTTTAAAAAAGATGCAGACAAACTGGAAAAGCTTCAGAGGAAGGCAACAAAGATGATCTGGGGATTAGAAACAAAGCCCTCTGAGGAGAGACTGAAAGACCTGGGTATGCTTATCCATGAGAAAGGAAGATTGATATGATAGCACTCTTCAAATACTGGAAAATGCTGCACAGAGAAAGGCCAGGTTCTCTTCTTGACCATCACAGAATGCAGGATACAGAATTATTACAGGAAGTCAGATTCCCTCTGAATATCAGGAAAAACTTCCTGGCTGTCCAAGCAAACAACAGTGGAATCAATGTCCTAGGGAAGTCATAAGCTGTCCTACACTGTAGGCATTCAAGATGCAGCTGGGCAGACATCTGTTGGGGATGTTTTAACTTAGAGCCCCGCATTGCAACCAATGGCCTTTGTGGCCCCTTCCAATTCTACTATTTTGTGATTCTGTGAAATGCTGGGAATCTTAGAAAAAGGATTCTGGAAGTAGCAGTACAGTGCAGCAGATCATTGTATGCCACCCACCAAAGATAGTTCTATGATGGGGTAAAGTGAAAGGGCTACTTCAGGTGGAAAACGTCAAACAGAAATGATGAAGAATGATGCAGTTCAAGGGGCATGATCCAAATTTCTCCAGCACAAGGCCTGCATGATGTGAATACAACCTGTACCAAAACCCTTTCCAAAGGATTGTGCCCAATATTAATTAGTGTTGAAGGTTTCCTGCTATTTGGGGTTTGCACCTCAGGCATGAAAATATCTCCTGACCAGTCTTTTTAGGATTCCTGGGACTCTAATGCATATGTAGGGAATCTCTTTCAGCCCAAGGGCTGAATTCCTTTTTGGAGAAGGTGCATTCCAGTGAGGATGGGGTAAAAAAAAAAAGGGGTGGGGCCGAAATATTAGCAAATGTTAGCTTATAGCTCTTACCACTAGTAACTAAGCCATAGAAGCAGCATTTTAAACTATCAGAACTGGAGGAAAATCCTTAAAAGCTGGAAAACTGCCAACCGATTGACACTCAAGGGAAAGGGAGTGTGGCCATCTGAAGATGCCAAGATGAATGGTCTGGGACTCCAGAAAGGCTGGATTTGGCCTGAGGTTTCCAGTGCTAATGGATCAAGGAAACACAGACAGGGCAGTATTGCACAATACCAGTTGACTGGAGGAACATAAAAGGTGCAAAGACCAAATGAAGGCCCCATCAAGCCACCCCCTCCCTGGAGCTTTCAGAACCTCATTTAACACCCAAAAGCAAAATCTTCTCCGGCACAGACAGCCTTGTCTGCTCACTTCTGCCTGTCACGTGGCTGTTGAAAAAGCCTGTCCAACCCTGTGCTCAGTTCAGACTGCTCAAAGGCACCCTCTTCCCTTCCAGCTTTCAAGTGCAGACTCACAATCATCTGAGACCCATCTGTGTTGCTTTCCAGGACCATGCCAAGATGGGGCATTCCAGAGTTCTCTGCAAAGAGACAGAAATCAAATATGTTAATGCTGAAGGAGATACTCACCTGACTTTACCTCCTATCTACAGATACTCACAAACCACAGACATCTCTCTCTGCATGTCTGATCAGCTGCCAAGATCTAAAAGCCCTTAAGGAGCCCTCCAATGCAGGATTATCAATATAGGTTGGAGAGAGAACCAGGGTTAGTTAGAGGTGGGAAGAGTCTCCACAGAGCAGAGGTGGGAAGCCTGCAGCCTGCATGCATCCTTCAAAAGCCTCCTGTGCAGCCTGCCACAGGTGTTCTGTGTTCCCCGGTTCTTCTTGCCACCATCTCACAAGATGTACAAAGAAAGTCACCCCACACAATCTGCTTCCTAGTGAAATGGGACTCTTCATAAGTTCCTGAATGAATATTTCTGAGGCGGAGGGAGCCCAGTTCTGCTAGGAAACATGATGCACAAGAATGTCACCTCTTGAGCACTTCCCAGCAGAATCAGTGAATGTGTATGTGCATGTATATGGATACAGGGAATATACAAGAGAATGTATGTATATGAATAGTTGTCTATATGTGAATGTGTGCTCCCCAAAGGATTCCATGGAGACAGTCTGCCCCCCACCCCCACAGTCCATAAACTTGCTCGCCCCTCCCTTGTTGCCCCCATGACACTTCAGGGCAAACTTGCACACACCTGATGCTTTTGTGCCATATGGGGTCTCTAAGGAAACATCATGAAGTATAGCATAAGGAGGGGATCAGAGAACCAGTAGATACAGTTTCAGAATCTGGCCAGGATTTCAGATCCCTGAAACTGAAGGACTTTGGCCCTGTCACTTTCTCAGCCTAACTTAAGTCATAAAATTGTTCCACTTGGGAAAAATTGCAAGGGGATGACATATATGTTGCCCTCCTGAGTGACTTGGAGGATTTGCAGCAGTAAAATGTAGTAACAAAGTGAAGATTCTGTCAGGCTTTTACTTAAGACCTACAATGCCCCAGCATTGCACAACTCACCATCCAGGTGAATATCCTCACACTCCCGACTCTGCATTTTGCATTGGTATACCTTGCCTGTGGACTTCAGCTCACCACCCTCACCAGGGGCTCCCACAATAATGCTGAAAAACAAGTAATAGTGGTTACAGAGTGGAACTAGTAATAAAGATGTAACCTTTCTGCAAAGCTTCATGTCCATGGATAAAACCATGACAGCTCCTGTACCTTTAACAACATTACAGAATCATAGATTGGCAATTATGATATGGAGACATCAGACAAACAGAAACATTGTCCAGTTGTGACAATATAACACTTCAAGAGAGTTCACTACTGGCTGCTGATCAGGGTCTCTTGGATGTTCTGTCACCTGCACATGTGCATCTGGCAACAATCAGGGGCATGAGCTTTTGGGTGCTGCACTCCACCTCTGGAATTCTCTCCCAGTAGAATATGCACCAGCAAACACAGGCAGAGTGTTTGCTGCCTGTTAAAAATGCATTTCTTTAACCTAATAGGAATGCATAGCTTAGATTTTCTGTTTCACTACAGATTTTCATAGAATTATAGAATAGTAGAGTTGGAAGGGGCCATGAAGGCCATTGAGTCCAACCCCCTGCTGTTGCAGGACACCAAGTCACACCATTCCACTCAGATAGCTGTCCAGTTTCTTTCTGAATGTCTCCAGTGTGGAAGAACCCACCACCACTCTAGGCAGCTAGTTGCACCATCATATTGCTCTGACAGTGAGGAAACTTTTCCTGATGTATAACCTGAATCTGGGTTGGTGCAGCTTGAATTGATTATTCCGTGCCCTACACTCTGGCATCAGCAAGAAGAGATCTTGACCTTCCTCCTTGTGACAGCCTTTGAGGTACTTATAGAGGGATATCATGTCCCCCCTCAGGTTTCTCTTCTCAAGGCTGATCATGCCCAGTTCTCTCAGTCTCTCCTCATAGGGTTGTATTTCCAAACCCTGGATCACTTTTGTTGTCCTCCACTGGACCCTTTGTAATTTACCTGCATCTTTCTTAAATCTTGGTGCCCAGAACTGGACACAATGGTTGTTACAACTAAAATGGCATCTTGTTTGGAACCCGGAATGTGACATTAAAGGTGCCAATCTTCTCTCACCACCTGGTTCCATCACAACCCTGTGCTTTTACCTCCTTGAAAATGCAGGGCCATTGATTATTATTATACATCCCATCTTTTTTCCTCTTGCAAGAAACCCAAAGTGGCTTACATAACTCTTTTTTCAACAACAGCCCAGTGAGGTAGGTTGGGCTGAGAACCAGTGAGCAGCCCAAAGTCAAAGGCCAAGTGGGAACTAGAACCCAGATCCCCCGTGTCCCCAGTACAACATTCAAACCACAGCACCATACATGGCTAAAAAAATGTAGTCAGTTATACACAAACACAAACATTTCCACCACAAAAACCTGCTCTCAGCGCTGCCTAGAATCCCTCTTCTCCAACAAGGAACGATTTGCAGAAAGGGAGACCAGACCTTTGGTTGGGACCTGTGAAATGTAGAATACTTGCCCCAAGGCCCATCCCCATGCCTAGAATTGACAGCTGTGTGGATAGCTTAGTCCCTAAGAAACACTGACCCCAGTTGTACCTGGGTGGAACAGAGAATTTCCTGTGGCCATTCTGTTTGTGTTGCAGAGACAAACTCAATTGTGATTGCATCACTTCCTGTGTGGTGTGTTTTCTCAGCCTTTCGAGACACCAGCTTTTCTTATGGTGCCTTTAACAGGTGCACAACAGATGGCATTTAGGAGATGATGCCTTTCCTGCTGCTTTCTGCAGCTCCTTATGGTCAAAGAAGAGGGCATGCACCACCAAAATAGAGGACATATAACTGCATATGTTAATACATGTGTATAGATACATGTAAAAATAATTATTGCTATTTAAATAGAAAACTTGTACATCTCACTGGGGGGTTGAAGACTGTGACCTGTTCAGCCTGCTGTCCCAGTGATGACTTTGGATGGGCAACCGTTTTGATACTTCATTTTTAAACCAGAATTGGACAAGACAGGCCTTCAGCTAGAGTACATTCCCCCAGCAGCCCTTCAAAGGACAGTTCTCTAGTTGAAGGGCATATATGGCCACCTATAACTCCTTTCCCACAGTTAGAAGGACTGCAAATCTCTCCCTAAACACATCTGGCCTCTATTGTATCTTTGGGTGAGTTCAGGGACTTTTACCTTGCTTTAGAGCCTTTCCCAAGCTGCAAGACCTCATATCCAAAATTCTTGCTGATGTTGGAGAAAAAGGCAGCTGGGGAGGTGTCGATGTTGTATGCCAGGGATGGTGCCAGGCCTGTAGAAATAGGAGGGACAATGTTTATTCAGGGTATATGGCGGAGCAGGTATCAACCTCATGCTGATGTCTTTCCTTCAAGCACATCAGGTTGCCAGTTGATCAGGAGAGAAGGCCTGACCTTCTCCTGGTCTTTAAAAGGTATTTGATCTGCATGAATCAGAAGTCCACACTTTTCATGGCACAATAAGCATTATTGCTTGGTAATGACCAAGCTATTGTTAAATGCACAAGAACAGGACATACAGGTTTTCCCCAGTCACTTGACAACTTTAAACCATGGTTAAGGTTGGCAGGGAGAGCTCATATTCAAGAGGGACTGTACTATCGTCCAGATCAACTCCTAGTCTCTTCATCACAGTCAGGGCAAGAGCATTAGGTCTGCTCACCACACTGGAGAACAAGTGCAGGGGGTCATTTAAAGCAGTCCCATTTATTTATTTATTTGATAGCCTGTTATTTTCTTATAACAAACTTATATCATTCTCCTGCTGCTACTCTCATTCTTATCCCCACAACAATCCTGTGAGGTAGGTTGGACTGAGAGTCTGTAACTGGCCCAAGGTCACGCAGCTGGCTCCATGGCTGAGCAGGGACTAGAAACCAGATCATCTGAGTCCCAGTCCCCTGCTCTTAACCACTACACCACACTGGCTCTCAAATTTTATTTATTCAAGCTTTGATTTGGTTTATTTATGACCAGCTTTGGCGGTAGCTTGCACATGAGCCAAGAGAATATTCCAAAAAAGAACAACAACAAATGGTGGGATGTGATGGCAGCAGGTGAGAGCAGACTTCTAAGACTGAAGCTTTTTTTCCTCAGCAGTCTTTAGCAAGTTTCAGAACGAATAGTGGCTAAAGCTCTCCCATTCTGTTTGCACAGTGCCAACCAGGTACCTACAGGAAGCCCACAGTAGCACTTTCCCACTCTTATCTCCCAGTAACTGGTGATACTGGTGGCAGAGCTGGCCCAGAGTCAAGCAGCTGCCTGAGGACGGTAGGAGTGGATCTGGCCGACTCTACCCCAGAGCCTACCCTGTCCCAAAGCTCATATGCTCTCCTCAGGCACAGTGAAGGGCACTATCCTGTCACCAGTGCCAAAGTAAGATTCAACTGTCAATGAGGTCAACTTCTGCACATGGAGCAGGATGGGGACACCATCCTGTCTTTTGCCTCAGGCAACAAAATGTCTTGGGCCAGTTTTGACTGCCAGTAATACATAGCCAATGGCAAAGGGAGAAGGGGACAGCAGAGGATAAGGTGGCTAGAGGGAGTCACTGGGGTAGTGGGTGTGGGCTTGGGTGGATTCCAAGGGATGGTGGAGGACAGGAGAGCCTGGAGGAATGTTTTCCATGGGGTCATGATGGGTCGGGCTTGAAGTTGCGACTAAACAGCAAACAATAAATACATAGCCATCATGATGACTTGCTTTTCATAGTCTCCTGTTCCTTAAATTGAAGGCTCCATCTCCCTTTAAAGGCCCCCAAATTGGTAGCTATCACTACTTCTTGTGGCAGCAAAGTTCAACAGTGCACTGTGGGAAAACTACTTCCTTTTATTTGTCCTCTGTTATTTTAAATAGTCAGGTGCCTTCCAGAAAATGAGGATATTGGGAGGCGAAAGTTCTAAATTCTCCCCAGATGGAGAGTAAGAGTGAAACTACAATGTGAAAATACTCTTCCTGTATCAGGATGCCAAATCATCAGTGAGCAGATCAGAGGGGGAGCAACTCAGAGCACAAAATGGCAGTGCCAGACTTCAGGCAGGATTCATTCATGATTAAAGTTGGCCTGCTTCTTCTGCTAGAAGAAAACTAGGAAGAAATAAATCAGTATGCTTGTTTCTCAGTCTGAGGGACTGATTGATCCCATCTGGAACCAGCAATTGAAAAAATACAGAATATGTATAACATGGGTTTACAAGAGATGATGGACTGACACACATTTCTTCATATGTGGGAAAGTAAAACTTCGATGTAGTGTTAACCTTCATTAAAATGCAAGGTTATGTAATTTGATCAAATAATTCAAATGCTAAAAGCTTATAAGCCAAGGTTCTGATTACACCCCTTGACAAAAATAGGACATACTATTACGATATGGTTATGGAAATATGATCCAACTCATAAGTTACCTCAAACTGAGCAAGTGTGTTTGTCCACAACTACTAGTGTCTTGATAAGCAAAACACTGTATGTTTTACAATTAAAACTTTACAAAAAGAGGCCATGCAAACTATCTATGTTAATGGGAGAGAGATTTATGAGGTAGTAGTCCTGTAGTTCACTGCCCCTCCTAGCATGATACTTTGCCTCTATTGGGATTTTTTTTTTCAGGAACAGAAAAGTGTTGCATTAATTTGTGACATGACATGACAGCCTCCACTTAAAGAAAGGTTTTAGGAACTGGAGCAATTTAAGAACAAGACTGTCTGAAAAATCCAGCAAATAAGGCAGGGAGTGAAGAAAACAAAAACTTTATCTGAAGAGCCCACAAAAGTTTGCTCACTCAAGACTTTTGATGACTGAAGGTGGATTTTCCATCCTATAATTACTTAAGTAATCCTGTGGGGGGAAACCTGTATTGCAATGTGATCCTTAAAGAATTAAATATTGGAACATTGTACTGAGGGCTAGTTGGAGCACAAACTATTTTGCTTTGGTGTCCACAGTATTTTAGCATCTTTTTTCAAATGAAACAAAAAATATGTCAGTCATTTAATCTCTGGTGTTTGTAGTAAATTTTATTGACCTTCACATAACTCATTATGTACAATAACACACACTCTGCATGGCAGAGGAGTGAGGGGAAGGTCATTGCCTTCTGACCCTCACATCTTTTCCACCCCTACGTAATGGGTAGGAATTGTCTGGCACTTGGTTCCCTCCACCCTCCAAAATGCCCCCTATAGAAATGTGGCTCCGCCACCTAGCAAGGTAGGCTCGCTATGTGGCTCTGAGGGACTATATTAAATTAAGCCTAGAAATTGCGATGTAAGGATGTAGAACATTTAGTAGCCATCTATTTAAAACAGTGCCAGTTCCAGGTTTTGGGGGCACTTGGGCAAGACACAGTGATTTGGTCTCCTCGCTCAGGATGCTTGTCTTTTCCCCACCATTGTCACCACCTGCTCTTGCTCATCATTTTTCTCACCACCGTCACCACTTATTTGACAGGAAGACAGCCAGTGAGCAAGCCAGCCATGGCTTCTGCTCCTTCTCCTTTCTGATCTCTACCATTGTCTGGCCCAGGGTCAGAGGCTGATGAACAAGATTTCAACAGTGAGAGGAGCACCTCTCGGCTTTTTCCTCTGTTGTGGCCCCTCAAAATTGCCCAACCATGCTTATTACCCCTGATGTCTGTCCTGAATACAGTGCCTGAAAATGGCACTCCATTTTGGATAGACAACACCAAAGTTATGGGCCACAGTCACTGCTTTAGGGGGTGTCCCCAAAAAGTATCAGGCTCCCACTTAGAAAATTTCTGTGCATGTTGGCAGAGCCATTCTCATGTCTCTGGAGGAGGGGGTGGCCCCCATGTCATAAGTGGAGCATATCACATTATATTTGCTCCATCCTGAACAAAGAAAGTTCCCAACCACAAGAGGTTCATGTCATCATAAAACCACAGAGAAAGGTTCTCCTGAGGAATGCTCAGTTCAAATGCCACAATATCCTCTCTCAATTGTTAAGGCGTAGGAAGCAGCAAATTAAAATATAGACATTTTAGAAAAATTGGCCCAGGGGAAAGTGCCAGTGGTTTCAGTTCCTTCTGAGGTGAGAGAAATGCTGATCTGACAGGAATTACCTGCCCCTTTCATACCAGAGAAACCTTTAAAAGCAAGTGAATTCCTCACTGCCATAGTGTCTTTCTTATTAATTATGTGTATTTTTACATGTATATCCTGCTTTCATTCCTAGGTACTCAAGAAGGCACAGATGATACTCCTCCCTTCCCCCATTTCCTTCTCACAACCACCCTGTGGGAGAGAGTGAGTGGGCCTTTTCAAACCTAACTACAGGTTTGAAAAGGCCAACACTCAAATCGCTATGCCACATGACTGGAAACAATATCCATGGCAACACGGGCACCTGAGAATTCAGACAGTTAATCCTAAAATATCTTCTTACTGGTGTTTATGTTATAATTTCAACAATATTTTTACTGTGTTTTCTTAGGGCAGCCCTTTTAATCCACACAATAAGTCTGCTCAGTGGCCTGAGAGGCTGAGTGACTGAGCTGAACTCAGCCAGTAAGCAAGTGCTCTGCCAAGCAGGACTACAAACCCAGGCTAGGTGTTGACCAAGTCCAACATTGTAATCTCTGATGCACATTGTCAATCTTCTAGTCAGGGGTGTGATGGGATCTCTTGGTCACTTATATGTGTTTTATTTCCAGGATGTTTCCTTCTCTGCCTTTCTGAATGTTCCTATATGTTCCATTACACATCTTCCATTCAGGTGATGCTGTGGTATAGGGTGGAATTGAAAAAAATATACTTGGCTTCTGTAGTGAATACTGGCATTATCTGAGAAAATAATGCATTACCTCTGCTCTAAAGAATGTAACAAAAAATAGTTGGAAATCACAGGAGAGGCCCTGGAGGATGACAGTGTTGTAGAAAAGACCTGCAGGCTTCCATGAGTGAGGTAACAAATAAATGCTGTGTGTAGGAACACCCCAAGTGTATGTCTTGTGTACCAGGCTCTGGTTGGGGGATCTTTGAGACACTAGTAAAGGCAAAGTAGACCTCCCATATCTGAAGTTTTTCCATGTCTGTACTAGAAGACTTCATGATGCACCGATCATTTTACTGGATAGATGTTAGCCAAAAGGGGAGATGGGTGTCTAACCTCAAACATTAGTAGCTGCTCTGCCTTATATTTCTCCTACACCTACCTTTTTACAAAGGGAGTGTTGTTATTATTGCATGACATTTCTATACCACCCACAGTCAATGCTGTCTGGTCAGCTCGTAACATTTAAGTCACCCATCCAGAT